TTAATTCATTCAGCTTTTCTGGGTTTGTAAAGAGTCCCCCTGAGCTCCCGTCAGGGCACCTCCGCACCCTCACTCTTCTTCTTCTTGCTCAATTCCATGGTCCGCTTAAGGACCCGTTTCATAGCAGCCAGGCCATCCGCGCTTATTTCTGTAGTAAGTAACATTTAGTATATGGCTGGGATCATTTGAGCCGGCGGACGAGAAAATTGAAGGAAAGAAGAAAGAAAGAAAGGAAACCTATCACTCACGATAATGCGTTACAATCCTCGGCGCGTAGACGCGCACCCCTTCTTCCTCCGCAATCTTCTCAAGCTCCTCCCCCGCAACCCCCGCCCTTCCCAAATCCAACCAAACCATATTCGTCTCCTGGGCAAGACCAGTCATCACAGCGCCTCCCAGCGCCACCCACTCCTCCTCCAATTCCCTCGCTACCGCATTGGCTCGCAACAACGGCTCACCGGCCAGAAACACCTCGTCAATCGCCACGCGCGCAGGCGCCGTAAGGATCCCGGTCTGCCGCATCCCGCCGCCCAGTGCTTTGCGCAGATGACGGGCGCGGGCAATCACCTCTGGCGACCTGGCGGCCAGGATGGAGCCGGCAGGCGCACCTAGGGATTTAGAGAAACACAAACTGACCGTGTCCACGTGCGAGCAGTATTCGCGGAGTAATGATTTGGCGGTTTCCGCCGCCTGTGCGGGCGCCATGCCGGCGCTGGAGGGTGGATAGCATGCGTTCCAGAGCCGGGCGCCGTCCATGTGTACTTTTAGCCCGCACTGGCGGGCGTATTCCCCTATGCGCTTGACTTCTGAGACGGGGGTGATTTGCCCGTTGTGTGTGTTTTCCAGCGCGATGATGCGCGTTGGGGAGCCGTGGATCTCGCCGTCGGCGGGGACAATGTTGGGGATGATAGATTCTAGAGTCATGTATGACTTTTGCTGCTCGTTATTGGTATTGCTATCACTCATGTGCGGACTGTTTAGCACGGGGATGAGATGCGCTTGTGAAAACATAGAGGCCATGCCGCATTCGTGCACGAAGACGTGACTCTGCCGGCCGCAGACGACAGAGTGAGGTGGTTGATGTAACAGCGCGCGCAGAGCCAATTGGTTGCCCATCGTGCCCGATGAGACGAAGAGGGCATTTCCCAGTCCCGTCAATTCCCCGACGTAAGTCTCTAGGGCGCTCGTGGGCTCGTCCTGGGAGAAGACGTCGTCCCCGTAGCGCGGGGCTTCGGTAATGGTTGATGACAGCATGCTGCTGGTTGGCAGAGTGGCAGTGTCGCCTATTTGGTCATGTTAAGACACAGCTTTTCATATCGTATATACAATGTTTGTATCTTTTCTCTATGGAGGCTTACTTCGGAAATCATGTGTGGCGGCCCGAGCATTTCGAGCTGCTTCTGCAATTATTGTTTGCGGCGGCATGGTGCTGGCTGCTCTGAGCGCTGGCCGACCTAGCTGAGTAGTAATAGTTTTGCGATTGTGCTGTGGCCAGGCAATCCTACCCAATGGAGCAGAAAGCTGTTGGGACTGACTAAATAACCTATACATTCGGGGAATCGTTGTTTATATGTTCGGCGGGAGATCCTAAAGGAATGGTTCTGGTAATCCCGTAAATAGCTATTTAGCTGAGAGGCAACGTTGCCGAGGATCCACCAGCGCCGGTTGCGCATCTCCTCATACTACTTCTACTCTACTTCGTCCAGTGCGAGCACATTTTCTATATTTGCAATATACATGTAACATCTTCACGAGCGTTTCCATTATATAGGTAGATTACATCTAAAATGTGATTGGGACTTTTCATCGCTGAGGGCTGACCCCTCGAGAACGCCCTGTTCCCCTTCAACATCATGGCAGTATTGAGGCTAAATAAATGTGAGAATTTAACGAGGATCAAGAGAGGAGTATAATCGAGTAGAGGGTAAACGAGAAGAGGGTAAAGATCCCGTTTTAAGACAGAAAACATCCATATTCAAAAGCCACGATAGATCCTCTATCCCACCCTGACTCATCAGGTAAATTCGTAATGAAATAATAGTGTACAGGTGCAGCAAAAACACGACAAAATGAACAACAGATGAGACACCAAATGAAATAAACCCCGTCTCCCTGTGCTGAAATCTAATCAGCTGGATAGATGATGCTCGACCCTCATCCCATAACAAGCACCCCAAATGCCATCCCCACAAACACAATTCAGTAAGGATCATCACAGCCCCCTCTTGGTGTGTATAGATGGAGCAATTTGCAAACACACACACACAGAAATGAAAAAGAAAAAGAAACCGCCCCTTCTTCAATAGTTCCCCAGGAGAAATCTGCAGGATAACCATAAAACGGGCGCATCCACAAAATCGTACATGTAGTCCAAAAACCTATGTCTTCTGGACATCCATCTAGCTAGCTAGCCAGCTAGTAGACCCGGTCATCACATACCATCCCATTTTCATAGACGCATGTAAACTTCCTCACTCCCTCCCTCCTCGGGATATTATATATAGAATCAAAAATCATTTATAGTCCTATTTCCCCCCCATCTGCCCCGACTGCATCATCTGCGCATTCTGCTCCTGGAAGCGCTGATTGATGCGCTCAGAGCCCTTCATGAACTTGTCGAAGCAGCGGTTGACGCAGCCCTGTTCGCGGCTGATGAGCGATTTGGTCGTGAAGTCGCTGACACAGTCTTCGAAGCAGCGTTGGACAATGTTGGAGTAGACCTATATTGTGTTGTAGAGGGTTAATAGTTGTTTTATTTTCATTTTTGGTTTGTTTCTTTGTTTGTTTTGGGCGTGTATGTGCATATATATATTTGTTGATACGGATGGGGTTGAACTGGATGGGATTGGAATGGAAAGGATTGAGTGGGGATGGGGGAGCCTTTGTACCGTCATGAATTCTTTCATCTGCTTCTTTTCCATGCGGCTTGCCAGCTCGCGCTGTTCGTTGGCGTTTAGACTGAATGGATTTTTATATGGGTTAATGTAAGCGACTAGTTGTGTTCTTTTTGTTACATCGCAAGGGCGTATAGAATGGGGGAAGGGGAAGATATTTCATTTTGCGAGAGTTTGCAAGGCGGATAGGAGAGGTCACGTACGCGTCCATGATGCAATTGGAACACTTGGAGGTTCTCCCTTACACTCCGCAAGGCAACAGGTCCGGGTTAATTAACAATGGCAAGGAGAAGACAGGCAGGGTACGTGGTGATCGTTTTTTGGTGTTGAGATATGGAAAGTTGAGCTGTTTCTCCCGCTGGCGCCAAAGCCTGCGAGCTGGAGGTGGGATATTATTTTTCCGAAAGACTGCATGTCACATGACATCGGCCGGCATGAGATCTCTACCTAGGTACGCTGTACTGTTCACGCCACGAGAGAATTCATCTAACGATCGGTGAACGCGAACGGCTAACTTCACTATTTCAATTCCTGCAATCATAACGGATATGTGGGGAATCTTCTACTGCTGTCATTGGCCCCGTTGTAGCGCTCTGAAGAACAGCGAAACAACAATTATCATAACCAAAAAAGCAAGCAGAGACAGTTTACAGCGATGACATCGGTGTCTTCGCAATATCCTACATGTCTTTGAAATGTATGTTCAAACGCAACCCTGGAAGTTGTGCGTTGCAGATCAAAAAATATTCCAGAAACAACCCAGGCCTCAATGCTCTGGATGGGATAGATATGATTTTTTGTTGACCTAGCATGTGAGCATCAACTTGTGCTTCATCACAAATATATCCCTCCTTGTCAAGTAAACGGCTTTTGTCTTTTGGATGATAGGCACCTTTCTATTTTCAGAGTGGCTGATCCTGGTCAATATCCGGGGAACTAACGGCTGCCAACCAGCATGGCATTCCATTCTCATTTTGCCTCTCCACAGCACGCGCAAGGCTGATGACGGATGTGCGACCATGCTGATCGAGATATGTATGACGAGGGATGCTCGTTGTTTATTATTATTAGAGGCCCTTGTTGGCTCGAGACAGTATCCGGGCCTCAACAAGAGTAACCGTTAGTACGCGGCGTACTGTGTTGGAAGTCCAGAGTGATAGGTAGATGCTTCCTTCGCCACTCTGCACACGACAGCCAGAGGCAAATTCATCGGCAGCATCAGCGTCAGCATCAGCAGCAGCATCAGCGTCAGCATCAGCAGCAGCAGCAGCAGTCGCAACCACAGGGCGTCATAGGCATGATATAGGGATTTATACAGACACCACACTTTGGATATAGAGACCACCACTAGTTTATATAAGGAATAGCTTGGTAATTGATTTTCCATTAATTAATGATGTAACTTAACTTATCTACTCCGTATTATCTCTATTCCTCTCAAATAATTCTCATCCACTCAAGGATGCACTCGTTGTGCTCATCCTCTCACGAATTCTTCAGAACTGCCTGTTTTTGGTCTGCTGTGTATCACAAGACAATAAATACAGTTGAGATAGAGAAGCTTTCATTATCAGTTGAAGGAGAGATTTCTTTAAAAATTAGTCTATTAATATCTCTTAAACTCAGCTCATAAGAATCGTCATATCAGCTGTATCCAGGGGGTCCCCCCCGCCTTTTCGCCCCCCCCTGGGGCAGTAAGCACACCGGCAGCTGGCAATCTCTATTCTCATAGAAATTCAGTGGATATGAGAAGCAGGCAGACAGACAGTGATTCCTGTATGCATAACATTTCCCATTTCCTGTTTTTTACATAGTAATTGATTTTAGCGGTGGTGTCTATATGATGATATTAATAATAGAAACTGTGGCTGGTGATTCTGGTTTCGTAAGGTGAGACGTATGCAAGGCACCATCATGAAACCTGTTTTATTTGTTTCCTTCTTTTTTATCTCGTGAGAATAAGAAGATTTTTTGACGAGGAGCGCGGGCGATGGCTGTGGAGGCTTTAATGGCTTGGGATTATGACCGCTGATGCTATTTCTGTCAATAACCAAGGCACTAGTCTATCGTGTAGTTACCCCACCACAATAACGATCGAATGTTGGGCTACCAAATGGGTCGGTTGATCGATTGACAGTTTGACAGTTTGACAGGTTGGCAGGTTGGCAGATCGACTGATAGATAGACACATGGTTGTATATACATAGTAGAGACAGGACAAAGTGATAGCTGGGGAGAGGTGCCGTTGGGTCACGTGAGGCTGAGACAGCACATGTTTCAGAGCATCTGGTGCCTGGGAGCAGTCCATGCAGTACAAGACACAGAGGCCAGACCCATCGCTAAGGTTTTGAATTACCGTACTTTCTTTTTTCCTTTTTCCTTTCATCTCCCATAGTACAAGAGTAACTACAGTACGGACAAGTCAACAAGAAACAGAGGGGGGCAGTGTGGGGTGGGACCGACTGGCGTTCATCCACTCGCACCTCGCACCTCGTAACTCGTAACTCGTAACTCCGAAATCCCCAGATCAAATCCATTTATTATTATTATTATATTCGTGACTGTGCAACTAACTCGAGGTTGGAACCACAAACCACAAACCACAAACCACACTACACTGATGTCACTGAGCTATGATCAACTTCTTTGGCGCCATGCCATGTCCAAGTGTACACCCAACCTAGCGCTTTCTGTGCTGTGTCAGCAGAACATTGCGTAGTTAGTCAGCAGCATGCGCTCTGGCTTTCCCGTCGTCGCCGCCGCCCCCCCTTCGATCTTCAAACCACCCAACTTCAACTCCCGCTGCCGTCTCACTGCTGCTCTCCGCCTTCTCTCGTCTCTCGCGAGCGGCATGGCCTCGTCGACTCATTGACCTGACTTGTCATATCCTGCCCGTCTGCTGCGCTATTCTTATCCTGTGCTCCTCCACGAGTCTTGCTTTCGTTGAGTTAATGGTTGGTTCTTCGGGTTTACTCCACCGCCTAATTCGAGCCGCCTAAGGACTTTAACGCAGCGCATCCTTATCGAGATACACACCACACCACACACTTAATTACAATGACCCACACGTACGCCATCCACCCTTAACGGCGACCGGACCTTTTAGATGAAAACGGCCTCTCTTCCCACTCCCCAACCTAAATAAATGCTTTAGGGCTTTCCGCGATTTCCAGCCATCATCATTTACTTGTCCACCACCGGCCCGCCAGACACCCGACCCCTCCATTCAGCCTCGTGCACCAGATTACCGCCCTTCGTTATCCTCCAGAGCCGCTCGCTACCTTCTCCTCATCTACCTCGTTCCCATCTGCATCTTTGCCGCTACATCCTCTCTTCCTTAGCTTTAGTGGCTCATGCGATTTATCTCGCGTAGCTCTGTTGCTGTTTTGGATCAGTATATAACCACGACATTTTGGCCCCTGACCAAACGCTCAAACCATTTTTTGCGACCTTCCCTCTTCCCCTACCGTCCAAATAATTACTAGCCTATCTACAATCCTCTGATTTCATCCACATTGCCGGCGAAAAAACCACTCCGTGGTACCATATCGCAATGGCCACCGGCGATTCACACCCAGCGCCTGGGGTGCCTGCCCGCGACCTTCCTCGGTCAACAGCACATCAACAACAAAATTCAGTTCCACACGGCACGATATCCCCGCCATCAAAAAGAGATCTAACCTCGTGGTGGAAGCAATTCGTGCGAAATACAAAGAAAGATGGGGAACCAGGTAAACCCCTGTTTTTTTTTTCTTCTTCAGCTTCATGCCCATATTTCCTCCTCGAAGATCATGGACCATCACCCGCTCTAGCGATATGAGCGCAAAAGACCCTACGGCTCGGGAATTAGGCTCGTGCACCCGAAGAGACGCCTGTCTAATTCTATCCCTGTATCCAATTACTAATGGGTGTCTGTCCGTCGTGTAGGCCAACAAACCGGTATTTTTGGCGTACCGCTCAATGTTAGCATAAAATATGCAAATGTCGCAATTTCTCTCGCTGGTGAAGATGGATCCAGTTTTATATATGGATATGTTCCTATAGTCGTCGCGAAATGTGGCGTGTTTCTTAAAGAAAAAGGTCTGCGCTACCGTATTTCTTACAATTTTTGTCGTCGAGTCTAATCGATTTTCCCCTCTCTAGCTACGGACGTCGAAGGGATTTTCCGGTTAAGTGGATCTGCTAAACGCATTAAGGATCTACAAGAAGCCTTTGATTCTCCCGATCGCTTTGGTAAGGGTCTCGACTGGACCGGATATACCGTGCACGATGCCGCCAATATCCTTCGTCGATACCTAAATCAGCTTCCAGAGCCAATCGTACCCTTAGACTTTTACGAACGGTTCCGAGACCCGCTACGCAAATATCAAGCTCAGGCTGTGGAAGAGAAGGATGCCGCCCCTGCCAATGAGGAGGAACCGTTCGATCATGCCAAAGCAGTGGTTACGTATCAACAGCTGATTAAAGAACTTCCTCCACTAAACCGGCAGCTATTACTTTATATTCTCGACCTCCTGACAGTATTTGCATCCAAATCTGAAGTCAACCGCATGACTGCAGCGAACTTGGCGGCTATTTTCCAACCGGGACTGCTGTCCCATCCGGCCCACGACATGGCGCCGAAAGAATATAAATTGAGCCAGGATGTGCTGATATTCCTCATTGAAAATCAGGATAATTTCTTGTTTGGCATGACGGGCACTGCTGCTGATCCACAAACAGTCAAGGCTATGCAGGCTGGAAATGCCACTAATAGTACCCTATCAAATCTCAGACGGTCGACCTCGAATGCAAGCGGAAAGGCTGATAGTATACGAAAAATCGATGCGCTCCGACGAAATGTGTCCGTTTCATCAAAACATTCGAAGACCTCCAACTTTGATTCAGCAAGCCCTACAACACCCAACTCAGCCGGTGGGGGGTCGCTAGGCGTACATCGTAGCAACACCGTGCCTTCGAAAAAACTGGCAGCGGTATCTCCTACACGCTTTACCCGCCCTCGTGAATCATCAGGCCCTGGCTCCGGTCACCTCTCTCCATCTGCTCGCTCCCGACCTCAATCACGGTCACCTAGTCAAACTCCTTCCCTTAAAGTACAAGGTGCTCCTGACAAAACGATTCCCGAGTCTCCGTCGCCATTGAACACAAACCACGGGCTGGGTTTAGTACAAAGCAATATGCCCTCGCCTCTCGGTTCCCCGGATGAACAGGCCGTGCCGTTCGAGCTAGGTTCCAAACCAGGTACCCAACCATTAGCGGGAACGTTTACGAAAGAAAGGAAACTAGCTTCATTATTCAAGTCTACCCCACCGGAGGGCGACAGAAAGGATGGGCGACAGCCCAACAGATTGAGGAAGAAGCGCCCAGTTCCTGGAAGCGCGAGCGAAAGTGCCAGGAGCTCTAGTCACTCTTTGCAGGTTGGATCTGAGCCCTCCTTGAGTACTTTAGTATCACAAGCTGTAGCGGATAAGCGGGAAGCTCCAGAGGATCAGTCACACATGTGGACTCCCAAATTAACAAATTCCGCTACGACACCTGCCGCCGAAACTATCCCCCAGCCAACCGGGGAATTAAAGCAAGCAGTGCATGCATCTCCGGAGAGCACCCTGAAACCCGGAAGGTCGAGGACCCCATCGATGCACTCGCGTTCATCTGTGACGGACCATTCTGATTTCGACCATCAAGATGATTCTACCATACAAAAGAAAAAGGCCCATAGACGGAGTTGGAGACACCCTCGTGGGGTCAAGCGACGTGAACGGACGGACATGAGCATGTCGCCGCCACCTCCTATTGGATACAACTCAAATGCAGCCTTCAGCAGTAGCTCATTAGGAAGCACAAATTGGCCACAGAAGACCGCCTCCAATGAGTCCCGCCAAATAAGCCCCGAAACTTCCGCAACCGGAACGATAGATTCCACCACTACCACTACACAACCCCCACCCTCATTAACAACCCAAGACTCGAGTATTAGTGTAAGCAGCAACTTAGTGAAACCATCCAACTATGGCCATCAAAGCAAGGAACCAGTTGAGTCGGAAAGAAAGGGCTTCTTCGGGAAATTCAAGGCCAAAGTTGCAGGCGTAAAGGAAGGGGTGAAAGAGCGTGAGGTGGAGAGGGAACGGGAGTACGCGAAAAGCCCACCACTCTCTGACGGCGAAAAGACGTCTTCTAGGCATAACCTATCCATCCTGCCTCCCAAGGAAAGCAGAGAAAGCAAAGAGAGCAAGGGGACTACATTGACAGAGCCGCCCACAGAGCCACGGGTCACCCGCCCGGCGGAAATTCTGGAATCTTCACAGCCGCCAGTGACGGCGGCGGCGGCAGCAACTCGAGCAGCAGCTCCTCCCACACCTCAACCCTCTCCGCCCCTTACAATGGTATTCCCCGGCTCGTTCCCGGAACCGACGATCCCAGAGGAAACACCCCCCTGGCCCGTTACAGAAGCGCCAAAAGATAGTGGTGTCACCGTTCTCCCGAAGGTGGAGGAGGATGAGTCGCAATCACCACCACAACCTTCGCCATCTACGGCGGAAACAGTCAAAGTGGCGCCTGCTCCACAGCTGGGAACAGTCGTGGAGAATCAGCAATCTTCTCCGGAGCCATCATCGACGATGTCAATGTCTAATGCATAATTTCCTTTCCTTTTCCTTTTTCTATTTCTTCATTTTGTACGCTTTTTCTCTATTTATTTTCCTCACTTTCCTCCGCATTTTCTTTCTTTCTCTCTTTTTTTTTTTTTTTTTTTTTTTTTTTTTTTTTTTTTTTTTTGGCCATGCTGAATAAATATCACGAGTTGCTTGTTTATTTTATGTGTAATAACTAAGTAATATAGAGAACGTTTGAATGAAACTTAAAGAGGGAGGAAATGAATTCATATTTTTTTTGAGTTGAGATTTTTTCATTTTAGCTTCTTCTCTAAATATGCGTAAAGAACACTATTGTAAAAGGATGTGGTTATTTATTTTAATTCTCTCTGTGCTGTATTTCTTTCTGTTTAACTCTTATATAATGACAGCACTACTGCTCCGCTGCTGGTTGTAGAAAAAGAATTACTCGGATACCTCTTTTTCTTGTTTTTAAAAAACCAGATCTAAATGTCCGTCTGGTCATGGCCCGTCTGAAGTTGTATCTACCCCCTTACATAAAATTCAAAAGAACAAAATTCCTGGTCCTCCTGCTCACTCTCAATAATTGGATGAACGAGTGTAAACGAAGCAACGCTTGCTTCGACTTGACTCTCCGCTCTGTTCCCCCCCCCCAAAAGCGCGCATAAAATAAAGTAACCGAACGGAGAGAGAAGAGAACTGTGGAAAAGCGAAAAAAGAAGTAAAGATGGAAAAGAAAGAAAAGGGAGAGAGAGACCATACACGAGACAGAGAGTCATTCACGTTTGGCCTCCTCGAACGGTCTATCTACGTCTACTTGATAGTTGGCGTGGGGCTTAGGAGTGGGAGGTCCCGCATGGAAACGGGGCGAGCGGGTTCAGGTTTTCCCGCGCGCAGACAGATTTGTTGCGATAGGGGCATGTTATCGCAGCTTGCGAGGGTAATGGGCTGTGGGTGGGTTGTTGGTTTTGGGGTTAGTGGAGTTGATTTTTATTTATGTCTTTATTATGTTGGCTGTTGGCTGTTGGCTGTTGGTTGGAGGGGTGGATGGAAAGGGGGAGAGGGGATGGGTGTGTCATGTTCATATGTATGTAGTAACTAGGGGGAAAAAAAAGGACTACCCACATTTAGCGCTACGAGCTCTGCGACGGAAATTCCCGCGACCCTGGATATGGACTCGCACGTATCGTTTCTTTGAAAGGGTTGCATAACGTCAGCTTAAGACTACGGGCAGCCTGGTAGGAGTCTGGGCGGAGAAAGTAACTATGATCCTTTTGGAGAATAGGAATGAAGGGGGAGAGAAACACTTACGGCCCCACCGCCCACTGCCTGGCGCATTCGATTGTCTGCCTTCTGGTAATCTCTGGTATCTCGTTCCGTTTCTCACTTTTGTCTTCAACCGTTGGGGTCTGGGTTGGTTCAAAAAGTGGGGGGAGCTCAGGCAACGGTTCTGGAATTTGCGTTGCTCGGGCCCGAATAGGCCTGGGAAGTTCGCCATCGGGTCTTACTTTTGGACGGACCTCAACCCCTGGAGCCGGGTCGATTAAGATGCCATCAGGTGTTAAGGACACTGGATGGGGCTGATCGGCGTCGAAAGTCACGGTTGGCATTCGTCGTGCCCGATTCGGCGGGAGAAGGACCCGATGGGGTCCTACTGTCACTGGATGGACATTATTTTCTCGTGCCTGAATACCATTCCCAAATGGTGGCGTTATGGAGGGCGCTGCGGTGGTGGGAATAGTCAAGGTAAACGGGTCTGTGCGCTTGGCTCTCTTCGACCCGAGAACTCTCACGCAGTACGAAAAGTTGAGCTCGATTTCTTTGTCGCAATTCTTCGAGACAGCAGGCTGTTGTGTGGGTTGTGTGCAATTGCGTTACAATTAGCAAGGTCTTCCCAGTCATTTATTTGCCATGATCTGATCCACATGAATAGCTAGCTACCTACATTCCACTCCAGAAATTGTTCCATCTTGATATTGAACTTCACAGTCACTGTATCACAGGTATCGCCTTCCTTAATATCGTACCAGCCGTTGCAACTTGAAGTTTGCCCAGGCTGTGTAGGCCTATCCGGCCTCTCAAGTGGAGTTGTTTGAGCAGACCTTCGTCGTAGTGGCGAGGATCCGCTTGTCGGGCTCGCTAGGGGTATCGTAGTTCTTATCTTGTTATTAGTTTCGCTTGCAGGAGGTCCTTCCTTAGGAGGGTTTGGCCACGACGGCGGCCAGAAACCTTCGGTATTTCTTTGACGTTTCATCGTTGGGGGTCTCTGAGTCGGCTGCGGAAAACGCTGCGAAGGTCGCAACAACTTGTTCCATCGAAAGTTTCCTTGACGCCTGGCGTTTCCGGTCTCGTAGGCCCGCGTACACCATGGTTTTTCGATGACGAAGCCCCCTGTATTGGGCACGAGTTGTTCTCCTTCTCGTTCCTGAAGTGTTTTCGGTGCTAGGGTTGGCAATCCATTGACCCCAAGTGCCGCAAGAATAACTAAAGCACCCTGTAGGTGCATGGTGTGGTGTGGGAACAGCGGTTTGGCAACCAAGTGAAGAAACAAGCAAATCGTGGAGCTTCTAGTATTGGAAAAGCAGATACAAAAGCCAAATAGCTCGGTGCCAGGATGCTGTGACTGACGAGCTGTTGAGAAGCTTACCTACCTCGAATGAACCGCGAGTGTAGAACTTTATACTAGAGACTCGAAGCTCTAAAAATCAGAGCACGGGCAGCAATAAATGCAGGCCAACGCATGCCAATCCATTGATCTCTAAATAAAAATTAACTGAAATATCACACAAGGGAGAGTGGTACAGCGAGTGTTTGAAGAGTTTAGATGTGCATACATGGGGATATATGCATATACATCCATGCACAATAAAATGAACAAAGAGAATCAATTTGCTTGAAAAAACAATACCTGTACCTGCTTCTGCAGCGCCCCAAGCAGATACACATCAGTTCACACGCATATCGAAGTTGGAAGATAAACAATCATTTTTCCCCCATTGTCTGGTCTCCTGGTAGTGGCGGCACGGGTTAAAGCGCAAGAAAACCTCACTGGAACAGCAAACGCATCTGAATTTTGCTGATAAGTGTTAGTGGTAGCAGAAAATAAATATGCAGAATAGCATTACCAAGCACTGCTGACGAAAAAATGAAAGTGCTTGCAATACCTGAGACGTACCTAGGTAGCCCTGTTAGCTGGTGATCATCTAACTCTTTGTCCTATTAACCATTGAGTACCCTGCAATTAAAAAACCAAAGTTGACCGGTATAGCCAAGGTTAGACTTATTCTAACAAGAGGCAACGTTAAATCTCAAAGGATGAATGCCGTAGCATGCCATGTAGCATATCTTATGCTGGGAGCATAGAGAATCTTGCTTTTGTCGTTAATATTTTGGTTTGGCCGGTTTGACCGAGTTCAAGGGAAGGTGCACCCTCCACCCCGAGTTTGATAATAGCGGAAGCGCACATCAATTATTATTTCGGCGTACACGCTGGCAGGACCTGCATTTGTAGAAGAGACAGTAAGGACTCGGAGTCAAAAGTTCAAGCTCCCACATTTCGGCGGAATCTTTCTAAAACCGTTGCATTGTCATCGCCGGACTTGTATGAGTGGTGTCAAGGAATAACGGCACATCATCCGTTTTTGAATGCTCGCATCGATGCTTATATGATGGATGTGCTGAGCGCCTCCGATATTAAATGTTAGTGCGCCCATATTAAGGCGCACTAGGGATCCACAGGCTTCGTCAATGAGTCTACGCGGCTCTACATAGCAGCTCGATTATGTGGGACGAGATAAGAATGGGTTTCGGCAAACGTGTGGCTTTGTTAAAAAAGTACTGTATATGTAAACATGCTGTACGGGACTACCACCAAATATCGAGGGAATTGACTCGCTGATGGATTTGAGAAGTGCATGTGTTAAGCATGACAATCGGGACAAGTAATGCCGCGTCAAACGCGCGACCATGACGGACAGTGTTGGTGACACCTATTTGATACGTCGCGAGGTCCCTGAAACAAAGGCTAGGTATAGTTGCCCCAAAAGTAGCTGTAGGGTATTTTTGGTGACTGCACCGGTAATAGGGCTCCCACATTCTCGCGCACCCGTGGGGGTCGTGACGGTTCCAATGCTGAACAGAGGAAGTATGTAGATTGCGCCAGCTTTCTCATATAGCCAAGAAATGTATCACGACATAAGGGGTAGACTTCTTGCGTGAGTTGTCAATGCTGTGTTCTGCATGTTGCCGGATATTGGCCCGCGTCAGAAAGGGTGACAAACAAATTCAACAGAAAGTCGTCAAGATGTGATCAGCGGACGCTGATGAATAAATAAACCTCTTTGCCGGCCTTCCCGAAAAGATGCATACTATTCAGCTTAATGTTGTAGACAGTCAGCCGATCCTAGTTTGCTGCGTCACAGAAACCCTCACAGGAACCCATGTTTAATGATCGATGCTCTCGCATCCAGCAGAGGTTCCGAGGTTCCATTCTCTCTCTGATACATGAAGAGGTAACATGCATGAATTGAGTCGCACTTCTCAGCTAATTGTCGTTTTATGGGAAATGTCATCAGAGGAGATGCAGTCAAGACACCACGATCGCAAGATCGGTTTAGGAGGTCGGATTAATAATATTCCCTGTCCTCAGATCGCTCTCGGCCCTAGCAACCCCCTTTATTTACTATTCCAATCAGCAGAGCATTTACCTTCTGATGAGAGGGTAAAGAATGTATCTCTTCATCCTGAGTCATGGGCTAGGGAACCATTGGAAGCTACACAATGTTGCACACCCGTTCTAACATCTTTATATTCTCCATCTACCAGTCCGTACGGAGTACAGAAGGCGGAATTATCTGCGATGCTAAGCGCGACACGACCTTTTTTTCTCTTTTTCTTTTCTTTTCTTTTCTTTTCTTTTCTTTTCTTTTCTTTTTTTTTTCATTCCAAGCTGCGGATTGTTTTGCTCCACTCCGATAACCCCACTCCGATAACCGTTAGGGGCAGGAAACGTCTAGAACCGTGATCTACTGACAGCTATCATCATATCTCATTGCTAACCCCCTTTACAGGGCTGGCTCAAAAGCCAGACAGAAGGGGCAATTTGGCGTTGATATCCCGTCGATCAATTGGGGATTCGGACCTTTAAAATTAGATATCTTCTATGACAGCAATCTGCAAAGCACAGCTTCGTAGGTTAAACTTCGCTCGTCAAATGGCCATTCCTCCACAGTACAACCCGGGACAATCACTCTCGTTGAAAAGTTCGGCTGGTGACTGAGAGAAAACCATGTTCACAATAATAGCGGGACGTATTAACCCTTTGAAACCCCGCAAATATATATATATATAAATATATATGTATATAACGCCCAATAGACGGACATCGCGAAAGAACCTCTTCAGTATATGTTTTTCACACCCAAAGCACAAACCCAATGTCTAAAGTCTCAAGTTGGCCATACTATTTTCGTCATGGAGCGTTGTTTGTTGCCCATCACCAGTCAAATTGATAATCAGCGTGCTACTGAAACATTAGTGTTTCGGGGTAGATATCATGTCATCATTGACTCTTGGGGCTTGTCTCACTTGCCTAATTTTGGTGTACAGAGTTGGTGGTTAAAGTTTGGGACAAGGTGGGGAGCTGAGGTTCTTCAGCAAAGCAGCATCATTGGTCTAGTGGTAGAATCCATCGTTTGCCATGACTGCGGAGTCAGCGACTCGTGTTTCGATTCACGGGTGATGGAGTGAAATCTCTTTTTTTTTTTTTTTGGTTCTTAAAAAGCAATTTCTTTTTTATTTTTTTCGAGTTTGTGGGGGTTGGTTGTTGAAGGGCATCATAATAAGATAGTGAGAGCTATTTGGCCGATCTAGCACGGAGCACCCAAACTCGGCGTACCGGGTCCACGTGACCTGGTCCACCCGACTGCGGCCCTGCTTGACCTTGCTTGAACCTGCTGAAGAAGAGCCTCTTGGAACCCGCCTTGGAAGCCCTGGAAACTCACTCCGCAGTTGATCGGGCGAGGGGCAAGACTAGACTGGATTGCCAGAATGGGGATGGAACACAGCGAATCAGATCCTGCTGTCATTACGGTGTTTTTCTGGAACTTTCTCCCCCAGATTTTCCCGTTTTAGTTGGAAGGTTTGCTTGAAGCCTGCAAATCTTCACGTGCCTTCCCCAGTACCGCCCATGTTATTTTGAGCGAAAATCCACCCCTGTATTTCTTTTTTTTCCCCTTTTTTTCTTTGTGCCTGCTCGCTCTCTTTCCCCTCTCGAGTTTCGCGAGTTCCGCGGTCGCCCCCTTCGACCCTTTAAATTTAATTCACCACTTATCCATCTCAGCCTTCCAATAGAGCCTCGCGCTCAGCATTCTGTGCCTGGCCTGGCTTAAACTTCATGACGGGCCCTAAGAACGCTGGTGGCGTCGAGCCGGCGGCTCAAAATGCGGGTGGCGCCAGCCTGGGCAAATCCTCCATGGTGACAAAGAGCGAGATATTTGAGAGTGCGAAATTGGCAGCTGACAAGGAGCAGCGGATGACCCTGCTACAGGGGCTGAAGCTCTACCCAAAAGCAGCTGCATGGAGTGTGCTCATCTCAACCTGCATTGTTATGGAAGGCTATGATATTTGTTTGGTGAACAATTTCTACGCTTTCCCTCAGTGGAACGAGAAATATGGAGTCCGATACGGGAATGAATACCAAGTCCCTGCCAAGGTAGGTTCATAGAAATTTTGTTTATACTTCTATCGTTGTTCTATAATGTTCATTTTCATGGATCTAAACAACCTATTATTTATTTATTTTCGCCGTACAGTGGCAAGCAGCTCTTAGCAATGGTGCAGTCGTCGGTGAAATTATAGGGCTATTTATCAACGGCTGGGCTTCTGAACGCTTTGGTTACCGATATACGATTCTAACCTGTCTGTTGTTCCTTTCCGGGTTGATTACGGTATTCTTCACTGCACAGAATGTGGAGGCCTTGTTGGTAGCTGAGATCCTTTGTGGTATTCCATGGGGCGTTTTCCAGACCCTGTGCATCACCTACGCTACTGAAGTCTGTCCCGTTGCTCTGCGGAGCTATCTTACGACTTACATCAATTTCTGCTGGGGTCTTGGCCAATTCATTGGAATTGGAGTACTCAAAGCCCTGTTGAGCCGACCTGATGAATGGTCATACCGAATCCCGTACGCATTGCAATGGATGTGGCCCCTCCCATTGGCTCTGGCGATTTTCATGGCACCAGAATCTCCGTGGTGGTTGGTGAGAAAGGGCAGGACTGAGGAAGCAAAACGTGCCCTCCTTCGGCTAACGAGTTTGAATCGGGAAACGGACTTCGATGCCGACGAGACAATTGCAATGATTGTTCACACCACAGCATTAGAACAGAAAATTACCAGCGGTGCCAGCTATCTCGACTGTTTCAGGGGAGTTGACTTGCGCCGGACGGAAATTGTTTGTATGGTTTGGGCGATCCAGAATCTTAGCGGAAACTCATTCTCCAACTATTCTACATACTTCCTCGAACAGGCTGGTGTGTCGACTGTACATTCCTACTCCTTCGCCATGGGCCAATACGGAATCAACATGATAGGCGTGTTCGGTGCATGGGTTCTCATGTCTCGCGGCATTGGCCGAAGGACCCTTTACATGTTCGGTCTGTGCGGTCTCTGTGTCATGCTTTTGGTAATGGGATTCCTTGGCCTTGTTCCCGAGAGCAACCGCAACAGTGGCGCGCTGGCAACCGGATCCATGATGCTGGTCTGGGCTTTGGTCTACCAACTCACTGTCGGCACAGTCTGCTACTCTCTTGTGGGCGAACTTTCGAGCCGGCGTTTGCAGATCAAGACCGTCGTGCTGGGAAGGATTTTATACAACATAGCGGCTATCTTCTGCAACGTGTTGACTCCATACATGTTGAACCCAAGTGCGTGGAATTGGTCTAACTATGCGGGATTTTTCTGGGGTGGTGTGTGCTTCTGCTGTATCATTTACACGTATTTCCGTGTCCCGGAGCCGCGTGGCCGGTCCTTTGCAGAACTGGATATCCTGTTCGAGCGTGGCGTTTCTGCGAGGCGATTCCCTGAAACTGTAGTGGATGTTTTCGAAGAGGACGTACAGGCCGAAGTGCTCGCTGGTTATAGGAGAGCCTCAGTAAGCCACTCTATAGAACCACAGGACGACGAGAAACCGACACACCACGCTCAGACGGCGTTGTAACCGTGCGAAAGACGTCCAGGGTGCATAACGTAGGGAAGTGATGAGAGATATCCGAAATTTCCTAGAAATCCACCACATACATTTTACTCTCATCCACCATCCACACTGCTCGCATTCTACATCGCCCGTACGCACTTTGGGTGGCTCATTAATTGTCTTCCGAGTATGTACTGTACCTACGTATTGACTTTGTATATAAGCGCCCATGAACACCAAGCAGGCAAACTAATGATTATTTTCTCTTTTCACTCTCTATCTCTCTCTCGCACACAGCGTACTTCTTCTTGTGTTCATTAGCTATTCCCGATTTGAAGTAGCCTTAGGTGTCGATTGTCCCACTCTGTGTAAGTACCATAAATGTAATTCAGATAACTACATAATTTCAGAGTTACCAGCACTGGTAATACGGATAAACACCTCCCATCTGCCGAAAGGGGGGTTGGGAAAAATAAGGTCTACCGAGCCTTCCCACCCGGCTCTCATTTTGCTACTTTCGAGATTCTTAATGGGAGGGCTACTATGTAGATATTCTGCTTTCACATCCTGGTGAGGCTGAGAAGCCATGCTGAATCATCGCCTCAGCTCGCTGCCAGAACGTGCAACGTTTCCATCCCTGATAGGCAAAAATACGTAATCCGCTGACAAACTTCTGCCTCTTAAATGGACAAAATTCCCTGCAGGAGAGGCGGTGTTCTAAATTTAAATATTAAAAGAAACAGGAGATTGAAGTAAGATAAAGGCGGGCAGCCTGTCCCTCCCTGCAAGGAAGAATGAAATCGTGAGCAAGGTTATTAATATGAAGGGCAACATAACTGATGTATGATAATTTTTCTATCGTTCCCCAAACATAATTGTTCCCTCCTCTCCTGCTACACGAAACAAAGATATCATGACTATCAGTTCAACCTCCAGCCGATGCAATAAGCCAAAGCCCTTTTCACCCTGTCTCCTCCTCCTACTCCCGTACGAGCTACGCCATCAAATATACAACGCGAGCTTGACTGCCAGTCATCCCATAGACCGACCCCCATAACAAGCGACAAACCTCCCTTAGCCCTTCCCTCCTCGCAACATGCACGCAAATACATGACGAAGCGACTCCGGTTCTCTACAGGGAGAACGAGTTCATCCTCCGTAACATACCGCGTGATACCATATGGCTCGATGAAATCGGAGCCCGAAACGTCTCACTTCTGAAACGCGTGCAGTTTTTCGTCGATGGGGGTCCGATAATCATAACCGAATTTGGCGGGGTGGTGAGTGACGGTCAGGAACAGCGCTTACGGGCTCTGCTGCGCCGATTAACCAGGGATGCGAAGGGGTTGAGGTACCTTCGTGTTCGTTTGGCTGAGTTGGGTGAGAAGGATTATGAGTGCTATGAATGTGATGAGGAAGGGTATGGGATGCAGCCGAGATGGGGATGGAGAGAAGATAGGCAGTTCATGTTGGAGGTAGGGAGGATGAGCGGGTTGACGGAGCTTGTGCTTGATGGGGCGTTTGAAACGACCTGGATGGGATATTTGAGGAAGCAAATGGGTGATAAAGTAGAGGTACTGTACAATACGTGAGTTGTGACAGTAGTGGATGAGTGACTGAGGGCTCTTTCATCGAGCGTATTTGGTTGGAAAGTTGGGTTATATAGCCCAAATGCAGAGGAGTGGTTGGTTCCGATTTGTTATGTAAAATCAGCAAAGGATGACCGTCAGGTTGTGCCATGCTGCTTGGTGTTTTCGAAACGCGAAATCCTCGCTGGCTAGCATCTCCTACTGGATGAACCTCCACTATCAACACAAAGCACTCGGGGCCCTGCTGTTGGGGGTTTTATTTTTCATTTTTATATGAGCCGGATCTCTGTAGGATATCATTGAGATGAGGAGTTTGAGCCTTCAGATACTTCAGATACTTCAACGGCTCTTGAAGTACAGGATCTGAGATGAATACAATGAACCCCAAGGATACATTTTCATCGCCACGACATATCTATTTAGAATTAGCATTGGTGATGTCAATTCCATTGATTTTTCATACATCACCGCGGATATCAGAATACTCTGAGAAACAATCAGCTTGGCCGATCAAATATATAGGCCATTGATGGAGGTATGGGACTGGACATCGCGAACCTTGTCGACTGTAGATTAACACGTGGGCTTGCCATCACCAGAAGTGGCGGGGTTGGGTTTAATATCCTTGGCTATGTTAGCTGTGCTTCCTCAAGTAGGCGAAGAACATAAGCTTGGATTTAATATAGTTAGCTCAAGTGGCATTTCTGATCCAGTGGAAAACCTCGAGCAGCATGTGGACCCCTTTTTAATGAATCGTGCTAGGTAAGAGTTGAGACAGCATTCCCTCTGCAAGGGATCCACCACAAAGATAGGTAGGGGGCTTCCATAAAGATTCTGTGGGGCTACGAGACTTCGGGTGTGCTACAAGGCTTAAATAAGTAAGTTAGCATGTCCAACAGTTTGTTCAGCATATATCCCACCTACTTCACTAACTAGTTACCAATGATCAGCCTGAATGCACTAGCGCAAGCTGCAATAGGTTTGTATTGTACGGAGTACTCCGTACATGTACATGTACAAAGCAATAGCTGAAAGCATATTAACAAGGCTAACCAGTGTCCGGTTAGGGGCCCGGTTTCCAACCGACCCTGAATACGACACACTTGCCCCAACTTTCAAGAAATATGGACGAAATGGACATGTGGAGGAACACTTTGAGCCGAAAACAGGCAACAACAGAGTGACTGTCAGTCATTTCCTCCAACAATAATATGGCAATGGGAGACGCCTGGGCGGATATTCCACAGACAAGAGATAGTTCCATGCAGCTGTCATGGGACTACTGCAATAACTACAGCATTCTTGATGCCTCCACAGGTGAACTTTCTTCAGCAGACCCTGCTCTTATCACGGACACACAAATAATCACAGTATGGCATTTTGAGTGCTTCTGTGGGTAGCTTTTCTCTTTCACAGCCTGATTCCACAAACAGCTATTGACAATCACTAGCCCTCATCACTGACACTCAAATACCACAATATGGCCTTTCTAATGCATCTGCTAGTGATGCAACAGAATTCTATGAGGGAGATTATTCAGAGATGATGACACATAATTTGTTGAAATGATAAGAATACAGGTCAAGAAAGATATGCTATATGCAGTAAGTACTAAGTACTGAATTTTGCAATATATAAGTGCCGAGCATTTAATTATAAATAGGCTATCTTCTGACTCTGACATATCATATTCAACATATTAAGAAGTGATATTCCCTCTTCTTTATCACTTAGAATCATATTATCATCTCCTGGTACAAGAATATACTCTTTATGATTCAATTTTTTTATATGTTTGAATCTAGAGAGACTGTTATTTTCATTCACATATTCTAATCTCATAATAATTAAATGCTTGTCAGAGAATAATCTTTCTAGTGTATCACTCTTATTAGTTTAAACAATTGCATATGCTTCAACAATGTTCTTAAAGAAATTGCTCTTAAATGACTTTACAGTTTTATTAGATATATATTTGAGATTTGTGTCATTCTAATTCATTGTTAGAGGATTTCATGATTTATCATAGCTTGCTGTCAAACCTTTAGTCACTGTGTAATTACTGGCTCAATATCTTTCTCACAGCTGAGAGGGAAGAGTCAAGGGTAAGTGAGATGTAAACTTCATTTCATCTTTGATCTCACTTTTGATGCGGTTTTGACTGCAGTGTCTTTAAGTGGCTGCATTTTATGTGATTAGCCGCTTATGCAGGGTCGCCTGTGTCAATCAGAGTGTCCTATATCTGATAACACTTTACTGACAATTAGAACTGGGATTGGACAGCATATTATAATATTTCTCATACATTTCAGTGGCTAGACTCGCCGCTAAGGTGGGATCAGAGTGTAGAGGTCCCTCGAAGGAGTTACATGATGAAAAGCCTGCTTAGCTTACCCAGAATGCTCTTTGCTTGATCAAATCCCGAGTTTGTCTGTGAGAATGAACTTTTTCTTTAAATGATATTATGCAAGGGCCGGGCAAGGCCTTGTTTAAGATATATTTTCATTATTTAGATGGGGTAGGGATGCTTTTGGAGCCAAGTTGATCTCGGGCCGGAAGTTTCTCCGCATGGGCCATGGGGATAGGTAACGTTATTCAACACTGCAATTTTCCAACTTTCAGTTATCCGCAGTATACGGAGTACATCAGCTTCAACATAGCACTTCTCATCCAAGCACCTGTCTTTCATTAGCTACTAGTCATTACTATGATAGTGCCTGACAAGGACAATGACAAAAGGTTCTACTGTTAGTAGTTCCCCAATTATCAAGATTTGCTGGTGCGCTAACGATCCAACATTACAAATTGAGATGTAGGTTGTATCCCCAATCATCGCAGTCAAATCGTGCATTTGTACTCCCGCGTTCCAATGAGAATGGATATTAAGGTTCTTATACGTGGCCGACGATGATGTAGTGGATACGAGTGCGGGTTGAAAACACGGGGATACTAGGACCCCGCCCTTTTACCGTCCATTAGTTATTTAGTTATTCTTACGGATTTACATCGCGATAGATTGTTTCCATATTAAGGCCAACCGCAAACGCAGCATCATGGGCGCTTGATTATGTTAAGACCCCTTTGTGCTTCCGTCGTATTCTGTTCTTCGAAAAACTATCCGTGTCTTTGGGGAAATCCTCTTGTATGGCACCACCACCTATCACTTGAAAGACAACAACCTCAAACTGCAATCACGCCACTAAAATGGAATCACGCAAATATTCGGACCTCATCAAGCAGAGTGACGGTCAGAGCAGCTCTGGGGACTTCTTGCAACCACCCAGAAAACTCGGGAAGTTTCTCAGTACTGAGGCAAACCTTGATGCCAACAAACCAACCAAAGCACCAGCAATCGGTCCAAGCCAAACCATCGACATCGACATAGATTCAGACACCAACGAGGATTCAAATACAGAAGATGCGCTCTTTATGTTGTATTCTGAGCAGAACCAAAAGTGGAAACAACAGGAAAGGAACAACAAAATAGAGGTATCTGGGGTAAGCTACCTTCTATGAAGTGCAGTGTGAGGAAATGAATCTGAAAAGCAACCAATGCAGATGTGAGCATTCATACTGTGGTGTATGTTTTTGTGCTGGCGATGAATTCAAAATGTCATCAGCAGGTGATTGTTTAGCAGATGAGAAGATTCCAGACAGCAACAATGCTGATGTTTTGAACGGGGTGAAAAAGGTAACTAAGGGCCTGTTCGGTGCGTCCGTACTTTTTGAATGCAATAGTGGATCTCATTAAAAATAGTATATATACCAATTATTAGTAGCAAGCCGGCGTTGTGCCCCACACTATTCCATCTTGCCCACTGCTCTGGGATGGAGAAAGGAAGCTCACAAAAATGCATTCTTTTTGAACAGAGTTCAGAGTTCATTCAAAAAGAACACATTTTTGTGAGCTTTCTTCTAATCAATATTAGTTAACTATCTCTACTATGAACACTATTCTACACTATTATACACTATATTGTCTCTAAAAGTGCTATTCTACATCATCACATACTGTTGAAGTTAAATACTGCTTATTCATAAGATCTTGACAAGAGATGCAAGTATAGCTGCTCAATTCACTGAATATCTGACTATTTTCATCTGTACTTTGTAAAAAGCAGCTGTATTATTAGTACAGACACTCTGTTCACTGAACAGTCATGATATTGAGACTGTACTTTTTAAAAAAAGTGGAGATCTGTACAAAATGAATGAGTACACACGGACGCACTGAACAGGCTCTAACTATTCTAGAATAATAGAATCCCAGATTAGTCACCCGAATGGAACTCAAATCCACCCGCCTCAAAAGTGTATACAGAAAACTTGACCTTGCTAAGTGCGCCACTTGACCTCATTACATAATCATGACCCCGACCTCAGTAATAATCAGTTGGTAATTGACTTTCAACCTTTCAATTCACTCATAGTCTCATTCATTCAGCTCATCAATCAATCAAAGCATGTATAGCTGATTCATAATCAATTAAATAAATAGATAAATTCATATAGAATATAAAGAGATATTTTACAGAATTTTAAAATATATCAAGATAAAACTATTTAATAATTGATTTTAAATTGATTTTAAATTGATTCTGAATTGATTCTGAATTAATTATTAATTAATTATAGTAATAAAATAAATTCAATTTATATATTTAAGTAATTAACAATTGATTGAAAATCAGTTGATAATCAATTCAGTGTAAATTATATAAATACTTACTTTATTATTAAATTCAAGAATAATTTCAGTATTAAATTGATTTTAAATTGATTTTAAATTGATTTTAAATTGATTTTGAATTGATTGTAGAATTGATGTTAAATAATTGAGTGATTTCAAATTACAAGAAAAGATGTATTGAGTGAGGTCAGATAGTGACACAGGCCACATTTGTGAGGTCAGCTTACATAACAAGGTCAAGTGGCGCACTTAGCGAGGTCAAGTTTTCTGCTTCCTGGCCCGAAAATCCGAAATGAGTGCTCGTAATTCCAGAGATGAGAACATGCGGCTGAAAAAGAGTTTGCCCGAGTGCGGGTTCTCCAACAATAAATATCCAAATGTGCTTTGACTGAATGTTGACGCGAGTGGTAGGGGCAAGTGATCTGAGAATCAAAGTGTCTGATTCTTCTACAGATCTATCAACACAAGCTATTTCCTTTTGTTTTGAATCTGCAAATGATCCTTGTAGTTATGTTGTATTCTTAGAAGACCCTTTAATATTTTGATTGCGTTATTATAAGTGGAGGGTATTTGTTTCTTATTTTAGAGCGCGCGTCGCGTCCACTTGCACGCTTCAAGGTCTTCAAAAACAGCTCTTAGGCCCAGTCTGTGCTCGGCTATGTCACGTGACATATCGCTGTTGCGCTCGGAATTGTCTGAGTGTGCGGGGCGCTAGTCCGCAATGGGACGCCTAGGTCCAACTGGAGCTAACCAACTACCATGCCGGCGATATCTCAGATTTTGGGCAAATCATTTTCAATGACACTTACTCTATCATGTTAAGATGTTAAGTATGTCCATTTGGCCAATCACTTGACATAAATTCCACCAGCCAACTAGAAATAGATTGGTGGGTCAGATTCGAAGTACTTATTATTTGAACGTCACGCGATATAAGGCAATCAACACTTAAAGAGTTGGAATGCTCTCTACTTCACAGTTCTTTTAAGCTGACAGCTACCTTACTTCATTTACATTACAAAATCTTAGAAATCTCCCCACACATATTCCCCATCAATAATGACCGACTGGATTCGAAAAAAGAGGTTGGTGAGCTGTCTACACAGTCTCAGATGAGAGCTGACAACATTTAGTGTTTATAAAATGGCAATTTATGAATATGAGTAGCTCACTATAGCTGCTGTTATACTACTCATCAAGCATATAATAGAGTTGATCAACAAGAAGAAGAATAAGACGAAAGAGACAGGTATCACTGGGAGAATCCCTCTCTCCTGAGCCGCTGAGTGGAGTCAACTTGATGTCATGGAGTTGCTTCTCAACCAGAGTGCTGAGCTACACAGAACAGAGCGGAATGAAAGATCAGCTTTAAGCTGAGTGGCAGAAGACAAATCTCTTGCAGCGATTGAACTGCTGATCAAAAGAGGTGCGGATGTGAATCTGCAAGATGTGGAGGGAACTGGGCTGCTTGGCTATACTCACTGAGCTGGGCATAGAGAAAACTACAATCATGTGAAAAATCTACTTTGAAATCATAGTGCAAGAGATCCAGATGTTGATTTAACCTCAAACAGAGCACAGGATTAGGGATTAGTTTCCTTAAAGATTGTTACACCTTCATAGTTCGCTATGAACTGCATCAAGCAGCCTTCTTGAGGCTTCCTCGCTTTCAAGGTCTATGCTGATTAGTAGCCTCTACCTCAGCTGATGGAAAACTCTCTGCTGACTCTCAGAAAGCATGTCAATCAACCAGAACATATTCTCTCCCATTCTCTATGTATCCAGCAAGCTGTCTATAACTCGAGGCAGGTTCACCCCTCTGAGTACATTCTGGGTTTGAACAGTGTTCTTGTCATATATTGAATTGCTCCTCTGAGGAGTGCTTCGTGCAACACATCACAACAGATAAACAGTCATTTTCTTGTCTTCTAATTTCTCCCTGACCAAGAAACACATGGGAGCTCTGAGAGTATGCTGCACGCTTGCGTGGTGACTCAGGATGCAAGTGGGTAGACCCAAGTCCACGCTTGAGAGACTATTTTTCGGCGCAATCAGGCAAGGACGTTGGTGAAGGCGTTGGCGATGGGGATGGCACTGCGGATAGGGACGGCGTGCGAACGTTTTGGTAGCTAGAGATAGAATCATTGTGGTGTTCATCACTATGAATAATAATTAGGAAGCCTGCTCTCTGTAAGAACCGGTTAATGGAATAGAGAGGTAGGGGCATGCTTACCAGGGCTGGTGCCTACTCTAAAAGGCGAAGCTTTGGAAAATGTTGTTTGAAAATCTCCCTTTTTGAGAAAATCAAGCAGCTGGGTACGCAGTACTGCAGCCCCTGTTTCCAGTAGTTACTGAAAAAGTATCAATTTTCCCAACTTCCAGTGTCCCAGAAGGTCGCACGATGATGAACAAAGCAGAGGTTTCAATACCGAAATCTCATGACAATATTCGCCGTTCAGAATCATCTCAAGTGCCTGTGTGTCTCTGGATTGAGGCACTTCAACAGAGGCAAGCAGCATATGAAATTCATCTCGTTGACGAGATTCAGGCGGTGATGCGCGCGAACTGTTGGCACTTGACGGTCAACAAATAGTAGTCAATCGCGATCCACCATCGAAAACGCCTTGGGCAGTCGCCGCCGTGTGTCCCCACCGCCTGGCAGAGGCCAGCCAAGAATTGGGGGCCTCAGGTTGCCCCATTTTGGCTCATTATTCGATCGTAGTTTTAGCGTCCAGGAACTGTGTGCTGGGCTTGAAGGAAGATGTGCATTCTTGGGATATTTACTCTCAGGTCCGTCCATTCACGAATGATGTCTTGGCTATTGTCAGGACGAGAACAACCAATAATTCATGCTCAACATCAACAATTGTCTTCCTCTTCCTCTTTCTCCTCCTTCCCGTCGCCCTTGTGCTCGGTTGTTGATGTGGAAGAAGGTCGCCGAATGTGTTGCTTTGTCATCAAACCTAACGTTTCAGCCTCCTCCCGGCAGCAAAAATACGATGAACAACATCTTCCATCGCATCCGGATAAACGAGTGCAGTCCTCACCGGTCCGGCGCTTGTTCACAATAGTTCCTCCTTCGCCCGCCCTAGATATCAAAATGAGGCTCAATCCGGGGTCCGGAGGATTTGGCAGCAGCCAATCAGCCGCTTGCTCTCGCTGGAAAACCCCCTTTTGCTCGGCGAAGGGCACTGGGTTCTAGAATCCCTCTGCGGAGCCTTGTGCAGAGGGTAAAATGAGCTCTGGCCAGAATACGAAGATAATTGCCAATAACAGTTGACTATTCGATCTGCTGCCAGAATTATGCAAGGGAAGCGTGTTGAGCACTTCGTGATTGTGGACCAGGTTGAGGCTGAAATTCTGCATCCTTGAAGCACTACTGGCCTTGCATTCCAAGAATCTATCAAAGATATTTTCGATATTGTTTTGCGCGCTCGCTGTGCCTCTTAGAAATTCTGTTAATTCCCACGAGGTTTCAATGATCCGCAGAGAGAGTTTGGAGGGCGGGCAAACCAGCATCTCTAGTTTCCGAACGGGAATTTAGAGTAAGAGAAGTAGCCAATTTGATATGGTCATTGGGTCTCGCACCGTCGCACGCTCTCTGGGCCCAATGGAAAGGGCAAGCACTTTTCCCTGCCATTGTGGCGGACTGGCGCCAATTGCAGCTAGCCTTGATCAACACACCATCGCATCCACTCGCAGTCCCACATTTTTATCGTCTGGGGAGGGATCAAATGAATGTAAGGGTACATACGAACAGAAGGCAGATTTCCAGCGCTTCGCTTCGTTTTACAGGGGCGCAGTGACAGCGAATTCAATTGAGACAACTCTTCGGCAAAGGCATTTCCGAGGAATTCTATTCCCCCTTGCCAAAATTCATATAAGAATGGCGCTGCCTTGCGAAAACAGCATCTCCATGTCCATACGTTGGCCACCTACCCACACTCTTTTATCCTGTACTTTCGTTTCCACAGTCGCTCATTCGGTCTTTACCTACTAAGTTTATTCGTCTTTACTATCGGTGGGTTTCTCCTATTTGTGGTTGGCCTACCAAGATGTTAACTAACAATTTATCCAGCAGTTATCACCTGCCTGACGTTGTCTACGTGACACTCAAGAGCCCAGCACCATGCCTTCTGTAATGAAACTGGCACTCACCGGAGCCGTTGCGCTCCTATCCGCCCTTCAGGTCAACGCCGCCGCTTGGGAAGCCCGCCATGGTATGACTCGTGATCAATTCCAAAAGAGCTTCGATGTTCTCGAGGCCAGGAACTACAGCCTTGCCGAGGTCAGCGGATACACCCTGAACGATATCCCCCTCTTTGCTGGCATTTTCGAGAAGCACGAAAAGAAGCCTACTTTCGCCGCCAGGGGCGAAATCGATGCCAAAGATTACCCTGACCTGTTCTGGAAGCTCCGTGGTGAGGGTTATCGACCCACTGTCATCGATGGCTACACCGTCAAAGGAAGCGCCAGATTCACTACCATTTGGGACAAGGCGTCCAAGGATCCCTGGGAACAGAGGATCGGCATGTCTGCCGAGGGATTCCAAAAACTTTTCGACGAGTTCCTTAAGGAAGGATATCGTCTGACCTATGTTAGCGGCTACGCTGAAGGAAAGGAGGCCCGCTATGCCGCGATCTGGGAGAAGACCAACAAAAAGACCGAGTGGGTTGCTCGTTTCGGCCTCACCAGCAAGCGATATCAGGAGGAATTCGACAAGAACTTGAAGAAGGGCCTCCGACCAGTCCAGGTCAACGGTTACTCCGTCGACGGCAAGACTTACTTCGCTGCCATCTGGGAGAAATCCAACTCTGTCTTCGTAGCCAGACATGGCATGACTGCCCGGAGATACCAGCAGACTTTCGACGATTTGGTCAAGAGGGGCTACACCCTTTCCGTTGTCAGCGGTTATGAGGAGCGTGGCTGCATCAAGTACGCCGCTATCTGGAACAAAGATTAGATTCGGCCAATGTTTCCGCTTCAGGGAAAACGTGTTCGAGGGTCCGTAGGTATCTTAGGACCGGGCAGAACGGGTTGCATGAGCCTGATAGCGCTGTTATCCTATCACAATTAGTTTATAGATTTGAGGGATCGAGGGAACTATTTTATCTTTATTCACCTGCACTTTTATTAATGAATGTACTATTTTGCACGAGTCTCCACACCAGCAATATTATATTTAATGTGTGCTTCGTCACCAAGTACTTTGCACTTTCGAAACTTCCTATTTTTCTTAAAATTATGGCTAATTATATTACTTATTAAGAAACTGGTTCTGCCTGTGATTATCTACTTGGCATTAATTTTTGAACTTCACCTCAGGGCTATGAATGAACTTTTGGCATGGCTTTGGACCCCGGTTATGGCCGCTTTGAGGCGCTCTTTGGTTGTGGCACCAAGTACGCGTCGCCAGGAACGTACTCCGTACAGAGTACACTGCTGATGAAAGCCAAGAGAGAAGCACTAAACATGGAACAATAATAATCGGTGAACCGAAGGACAATCAATCTGGAGTATTAGGTGTGCAGATATTACACAAAACGGGCACCACCGCCACCACCACATCGCCTATATCCTGAGGCTCTCACTCACTCAGAACCCGAAAAGGTTTTCATCCTCTTTATACCCCCAGTCTTTCAAATTTGGTAGCGCTGCCATCTTAATTAACCCAGGCGGTCCACACAGAAGGGCGACGTTCCCTTCCTCAGGCCTAAACCCATATTTCCGGATAATATCCTTATTCACCAACCCCTTGATCCTCCCCTCCGTCAACTCTTGCTGCGGATTTGAAAGAACATGCACTATTTGAAACTGCTTCGGGTGCTGTTTCGCAAATTCACCAAGCTCATCCACTAACAATATGTCATCCTCTGTTTTGTTCGCGTCTATTACTCTGAGGCGGGTTGGGTCCTTTGAACCGCCAGGCACCATATCTGAGAGGAGAATATGCGCTATGAGCTGGTATCCGGGTGTAATGCCAGACCCGCCAAGGATTAGCGTGACGTTTTGAAATTTGAGCCTCTTGCCGTCAATCACGAAGTGGCCTTGGCCTTCATATTCAATTACACCTGCGGGGCCTTTGACTTCGACTTCTTCGTCTACACGCAAACAGTCCAGCACGTTGCTCATCGTGCCGCCCGGCTGCTTAGAGCTTGGGAAATATGTCTTTACGGCGAGCTTAAAGGTGCCATCTGCTTCGCTTTCGAATATGGGTCGTACAGGTGTGTAGGGTCGAATTACCAGCCTGTCAGCAAAGTGGAATCCCAGCTGAATGTGCTGGCAAGTCTTGAGGCCAAGTCCTTTTGTGCCTGGTGGGAGAGCAAAGGTATAAAGTTGGGTGTCTTCAGAAAGTCGTTCTTTCTTGCGGAGGCGGACCTGGGTCCATCTGATTATTGTGAATAAGCCCGTTAGCTAATTATCTTTATGGGACAATATCGTTTAGGAGAGGTTCATTACTTGTGACGCTGGATCCCAGAGCCAGAACTAGTCGAGTTGGCCGTCACCCTTGCTTTCGCGCTCTCTTCAGCTTGTTTCTTTATATATTCTTTCGTCTTATCAGTTACAACACCAAGCACGCATTCTGTTTGTTGTGTTAGCGATGCACATTTACGAGGGCAGTGGCATCTGTGCCGCAATATCCTCTCCAAACGTTGGACTCTACAGGATGTGCATACCGCTCAATTTCTGCTGGGCATAATCATCATGGATGCTGTCAAATTCCTCTGTGGTCTCCGCATGAACCCTCCCGGCATGTGCCATAATGGCAGCTTGGCCGCCCGGGTGCCAGCCGAGCACGCTCGTGGCATCGTAAACTTTATTGTTGATGACGATCCAACAGTCTGATTCCGAGTCATGCTTTTCAATCTCTTCGCGAGTAAACTGCTTCTGTGGAGCGGCCACTTCATGTCGGATCTCATCAATCTGCTCCGGCTTCATCCAGCCCCCTTCACCCGACCCTGGTTCTGTAGGGTGCCGGAAGGTGATCAATAGATCACCAGATTTGGGGTCCTCGACGACGATATTTCTACGGACGGTGTACCAGCAGTTGTTCATCATACTAAATTCGCGAGGCATCATTAGTTACATGTCTTGCATAGTTCTACGCAAGGTGTACCAACCCCAATAAATTCCAGTTCAGCCTTTCCGATTGGCAATTTTTGAAGACGTCGAAACATCGGACTGTGATACCACTTGCTTGGGCTAAGTGTGCAATGTCGACATCCACAGACCAGTGAACCCAAGTCCAGAACTTTTTGCCATGGCGAATTGGTGCGTCCGGAAACTGAGCGACGATAATGATTTTAATCAGTAATTCCCCCGTGTCATGGCTTCCACTGGTTTGCAGACTGAAAATGATGGCAAGCATGGATGTACTCACCCTACGGATACAATAAAGCCAGTTTTTACCTTCGTCTAGACTAACCTCAACACGCTGAACCTCGTGGCCTCCTCCAGCATATGCATACCCTTCAACCCTATATTCCTTCCGTTTTATATTGTTCTCTGAGACTAGATCCAGTGTCTCTCCATGGGCAGGTTTAACAATCACAGAATTCAGGCTTTGTTCGTTACACGCAGTGCTGGGGTTGGAAAACATCGCCTTCGCAAATTCTGAATCCATTTCAGTGATAAAATCAGGCACCACGCGATTGTCGAACACATGGTAATAACTATCATTTGGCTTGTCAGACGTCCAGATGCGCGATAGCCATTTCACACATCTTCCACCGACATAGCCAGGAATAATGACGCGCACAGGATACCCATGATCCGGTGGTAGTGCTTTATCATTCATCTCATACGCAAGAATAACATCGTTATTCGGATCCATGGCATAATCCAGCGGGATACATGTTGCATACTTGCCCTCGTTGGGTTGATCTGCCCCTTCGAAGTTGACCCAAGTCCGCCGTTGTGAAGCCTCCGGTGATAACCCTGCTGCAAGGAGGACATCTCGAAGCAGCGGTCCTTTCCAATACGCACACCCACAAGCGCCAGGTCCCCAGTTGAACCCTTTTGACCTTTTGGTCATGTTCACTTCCTTCCGTCTATTGCCGTCACATGCAATAAGAACGGGAATATTAATGGCATCAAATTCGTCCTTCAGCTCTTCCATGGTCAACACTAGCTTCCCATTTTCGACTTCAAGTCGATGAGTTTGCCAGCGCAAATGAGGGACAGAGCCGTGGTTTCGTACGAAATGGATTTTATTCGGGGTAATGAGACCGGCGTCGTAAAGCGTGTTCAGTGGCGGTTCGGAGTTGAATGGGTGCTTGCCCGTGAGGCGAATGAGGGTGTCACTTCTCGGAATCCAGTTATCCGGAGTAAACTGATCAGCCTCATCTATGCAAAATTGTCTCTGATCTTCATAATGGGCCATCGGAGACTTCCCCTTGCCGTCGTTCCTTTTGAGAGAATGCATGTACTTGTTCTCGTGCCGCAAAGCGCGCAAAAGTGCAATCTCTTGCGCAGAGTACTTTTGCTTCAAACCATCACCCTTTCCTGCTCCTGATTCCTTCTCGACAGCTTGTTCACTTTCGTTCTGTTTATCTTGTGGTTCCCTGGAAGCATAGGCGTCTTTCTGGGTGGCATTCTGTCCACGTTCCCGTCGCCATTCATGCTCCTTCTTTAACTGTTCCTCCTCTCCCTGTGTCTTTTTGCGCTCTTCTTCCTCCTTCTGCCTCTTCTGAATATTTGCAGGCCAGTCTTGTTGATTCTTGATAAAGTCTTCCGTTGTATGTAACACATACCGCCACCCCTTTGAAAAAACTTCAGGTCTTTCCAGATGGAAGTCCTATGATCGCCGCATGGTTCGAGCACATCATATTAGTGGAATCTAGATCAAAGAAGTCGGAGTAAACAAAACACAACCTAAACAAATCGTCCTTCAATTTGACCCGAGAAAAAGGAAGGAGTATAGTATACTTCCTGCTTCGTCATAACATCCCTCACAGTAACCAGATCCCGGCGCTCCAATCTCTTTTTCAATTCCTCCTCAATCTTGATTGCATGTTCCTCATGCTCCAGCTCCTCTTTTAACCACTCGTCTCCCCGGTGAGTTAAACCAGGGAAATTATTTCCCCCGTTGCGAAGTCCGATACGGTGCAATCCAGCCGTCCGCCAGTCTGGTTCCTCCTCGATTTCCTTCTTAGTTGAGCCCGGGTGGTACCTCGGGCGAGTGTGATGGGCGTGCGGCGTCATTGTCTTCTGGCAGCACAGTGAACTGTGATTCTATCAATCGTTTTTTCTTAGAATGAAAACGACTCACGTCGCGCTTGATGCTCTCGGCGGGTAAATAGAACAGAGAGATGGGGGGTTAAGACACATTCCACAGTGTGGCGTTTCGAACTTCAATTCTCATATAATTTTAAAAGTCCGTAGGGCTAGAAACATATTTGCCAGGAAAACTTGGCTTCAGTTAGCATGGCTGTCCACGTTTGCTACAAGTATGGTCATTTCGCAGTACCATTACCGCAGTGGGTTATCCTTCATTGTTAATTGGCTAGAGATCGCGGATTTAGACCTTCTATTGGACAAAAGAGGGCGGTACATGAAGGTGACCAAGTAATCGGGAATATGAGCTATGACTTCACCTGAAAGGATGTTTTGACGAAGGTTGTGGGCATGACATCAGTCGAGCTAGATGACATAATCACAGGTGAGAGTGTATATACACAAATATATGGACATTGATCTGCGCTGAATACAGATTTCTAATTCTATCTGGGATCCAGAAACTCCATGCGGTGTCTATTGAGTCTACGTAATGGATCTCCCAGGTCCGCCATCTAGAGTTTACTTCGCAAGACGACCTCATGCGTCGCCCCCTTCTCCGATTCTTCTCCAAAGATATTGATATCCCATCGAGGGGAGTCTAGCGAAAAAGTCAGTTAGCTAACGAGAGAACCGGCAGATTCCCTAGATACATCGAGATCGTCTACTCACAGCATGCGTAGGGCGTATTGTAACGCCGTGGCACTTTGCCCAGGGCGTTGATGCTAGCAATATCCTCTTCTGACAGCTCAATCTCCATGAAGTTCTCGACGATTCGTGCAGGTGTGACCGATTTGGGGATGACGCTGTGGCCACCGACTTGAGACCAAGCGAGCCTAGAAAGCAAGATATTAGAACAATACGAAGAAGAGCGGCTATCCTCAAAGGTCTTTGAGCAGACGTACAGGACTTGAGCGGGCGTGGCAGAGAGTCGGTCAGCAATTGTTTGAATTTCTGGGCGAGTAAGAAGAAGTGGTTCTCCGATCATATTATTTCCGAATGCCTGTTTCCAAACTGTTAGAATTATCGCAAATGATGAGTGGATGGATGCAAAACTGACTGAGTAGGCAGTGATGAGAATGCCCTTCTCTTTACAATAATTCACCAGCTCCGTGCTCTGGAGTAGAGGGTGACGTTCAACCTGGTTGACAGCAGGCACGACGCCCGTTGCCTTGATAAGAGCTTCGATCTGTTTGGAATTTGGAAGGTCAGAACCAAGAATGTATGGGGAGTCTGACAAATGTATAAAGGATTCGGGGTCAACTGGACAACATACATGTGAAACTGTGTGGTTGGACACTCCTACGCTTCTGACTTTGCTCTTAGGGAGGTTGGTCATGGCTATTGCAGGAATATTAGCTACGATTATTGACTAGAAGTCACATATCAAGATCCTCACGAACCTTTCCAGGTATCAGCAAGTGAGACGTAATCGTCGATTTTAATGTCCTTCTTTGGGTTGGTGCTTGTCGAATCGAGAGGGAAGAGTTCTGTGTCAGATCGGTACTCGAATGCAACGGGCCAGTGAATGAGGAAGAGCTAGGGGGAGAAATCTGTTAAGACAATTGCTGCACATCAATGGCGACAAGGCTTTTGAGAACGTACATCGAGATAGTCGAGCCCAAGCTCATCCAAGCTAATATCAAGCGACCTCTCAACGTGCTCCGGCTTGTGATGGCTTTTTAGGAGGATAGTTAGTTAAAACTCGAACGAGGCCAAACAATAGCTGGGTATATCGTACGTGTTCCATAGCTTGGAGGTCTACTTTCCAAAACGGGCTTCAATCAGCATCTCTCTGGGACGGGACCAAATAGGGGGCCTTTCCGAGAAAAAACTTACGATGAAGATGTCTTCCCGCTTCAGTCCGGGTATTTCCTTGAAGGCTTTCTTCAAACCTTCGCCAACCTCTCTCTGGTTTCGATAGCTGGAGTACATATCAGTACTCGGATTTCGAGCTGTGCCGTCCCTAGCAATATAATAGGGGAACTTACATATGGGCAAGGTCCTACACAAATATACCTATTGTCAGCACCTATCTCCACCTTTCGGTCCAGAAGGATCACACAATGTTCTTACAAGATGTCGGTATCCAGCTTTGAGTGCCTCGAAGACTCCAGTGCCGACTTCACCAGGAGCGGCCTGCCATGTGCCATAGCCAAGCAGACTGCAATTCGGAAAGAGGACAAGAACAACAACCCATTAGCCTGAAATGTTTGCATCTTAATTTTTATGTCCCATTGGATACTCACGGAATCTGATAGCCGGTATTGAGAGTCGCTTTCCTGCCGAGAGACATTGTGATGAAGTGACTAGAGCTGATGTGGATTGATTTGATAGAGGACTAGTGTCCGTACGAAGAAGCAATTTAACGTGAGTGTGTTATTGAAATTGTTTTTTTTTGGAGATAGAATATGAAACCAGAAAAAGGAGCCCACTTCTACTTATCCGAACTGGTGCCCCTCTTTAAAATTTCCATCTCTCCGGTTGAGTTTATTATTCTGAAATATTCCCCCACGCTGGAGTGGAACGCCGTTCACATGATGACGTCATGGTGTCATGGTTCACCGCTGCTTTCATTTGAAATTGTATTTTTCGGCAGAATGCTCTTTCTTGCCAGTTAAGAAGTAACTCTCCCGTTGTATGTAGAAGCCATTAACAGTAACGAGGTGCAATCTATAGGCATAGAGAGCTCCAATAGTAGTTCCCCTCTATTAAACCTTTCTTTTTTTTTTTTTTTTTGTACCGAATGCCCTCACTAAATAATCCCTGCCGATTCGGCCCCAGTTCTCGTCGTCCGTCCGAAGAGTATACTCCGTATATAGACTAGGAATTGAGCAATGAGGCCGCATCAGGTCTTATACATCTTATATCTACAGCGTAGTTGGCGCCAGGCTCGCCATCAGCGCCACGTAGACTGGCTTAAACCCCACCGCATCTTCTGGAATCTCAGACGAACAGGATATAAGCGCAGAAAGCTAAAACCTCAAACCTCAAACCTCAAACCTCAAACCTCAAACCTCAAACCTCAAACGCGGAGCAGTCTGTTCTGTAAGCATCCACCCCCCACGCCCTCGCCGACGCAGTGAGCAATTGATGATGGCCATAACGTGTGATGTGTGTGTCTCATGCTTTTGAGCATGATTATGGACTACAGCCAGCCAATTAAGTCCGCAGCGGTTGTTCTGCCAAAGGAATTGATCCTTCAACGTTTAACAGTCTTGAGTGGCAGCCAAAAATACTCTGCGTAGCTACACATTTCAAAGGAAGTTTCAGAGGCCATGATATGCCCATGTCGATTACACACAGGTGAACCTCTCCATCATGGGAATCACAATTTAGAATTGGTGTATAAAAAGATGGCGACATACTTATTGGACATTACAGGTTCAAGTCCCGGCTTGGCCTCAACTCTTAGGGTGGAAGTAGGCAAGACCGCATCCAGCGGGACCCGGGAATTTGCGTAGGTGATATGTCCAATATTGACATCTAATATTTAATATGCTCCAAGGAATAAAACCTCAAAAAGGAAAGTAAAAAATTATATATGGTTTAAATGGACATGGCAGAGGAAGTTCCAGCTCCAATCACCGCCAGAAATATGCTGTGCGAAACAGGGACAAATGAAAACGAAAGGATGTGGACGGGAAATCCATTTACTTCTTCTTCTTCTTCTCGGCTCTCAGCCCAACCACTTCATTCCCATTTTCATCAAAAACACTGTCCTCCACATCCCCCTCTTCTTCGGGGACCGAAAATTGAATCCGCTTCCCATACAACAACGGCGTTCGCCCAACCATATAACCCAAAACATACCCAATATATGCCCCAGTAATAATAGTGATAGGATAAGTCTGCCATGGGCGGTCCCTACAATCACAGAAACAACAAGCTTCATTAGCAGAAGCTCCCAACAAAATTATTCCTTCTCGTTCCCCAAAACATGTTATAAATTAATGGCCGCCCCGCAACTCCGCGCCCCCCTTCCGAGAAAGAAAAAAAAAAAAAAAAAAAAAAAAAAAAAAAAAAAAAAAAATAGACAGGAAGACTGAGGATGTTCCTTACCAATCCAACGGAATGGGTACTGCACCGAACCATGCGCCTAAGCCTACACCCACAGTAGCGCCCCACACGGCATCAATGGCGCGGGATATGCCCCATATCTCCTGCCAGACAGCACCGTCGGTGCCGTGGACGTATATCAAACTCGTGCCAGAGAGAATAGACATGTGCGCGGCACAAAGGATGGTGGCGGGGAGGTTGGATGTGAAGGGGGCGCCGAAGAGAATGAGGCAGATTGAGAGGAACGGGGTACCAAGGATGACGGGGAGGGTTATGGAGAGGAGGGCCGGCTACGTGGGATGTTAGCAATGGCTTGTTTTATTTCGAGAGATTATGTAGTAATGTAGTATCGTGTATGGGGGATATATGTGTAGATTATGAAGAAGTTCAAAGAGCGTATGTATGCATGGAACATCTAATATTTGGGAATAGGAGGGAGGTGGTGAGCATGAGCATACGATAATCTTCGAGCCCCCCAGCCGCTTCTTCGCTCCAGTCTTCCCGCTACCTCCTCCACTAGCATTCCTCCCCTTCCCCAGCCCGCCATCCCCCGCACTGCCACCACCGGTAGCAGCAGGCAAGCAAACAATCACATAAATCCCCTGCATCAGCGCCAACGGCGCAAGCGAACCCAGCAACGTTGAAACCGGATCATCGACGAGGGCACGGAAGCTCAACGCAAAACAAGAAAGGAGGAGGAGCGGGTGAATGTGCGCGTATGATCGGGCGAGAGCGGAGGAGAGGATGGATATTGGCGGGTGTGGTTGGGCATGTGAGGAGGAGGGTGATGATGCCTTATGTGGTGGATGCGATGGCGTTGTCGAAGGGGGTTTCGGAGGTGAGGGTGGCGGGACCATTTTGAGGCTTTGCTTGGTCCTTTCGGCGCTGCAATGTTTGCCGGTATGCTGGCGCGCGTAGGAATTCGTGTCTTCTCTCTTTGTTTATATGAGAGGCATTGAGGTATGTGTGAGTGGAGTGGGGGTTTTGGGTTTGCTGAACATTTTGGAAATTTTTTTGGTCAGATAGGATGCAGGCGTTGATGTAATTTACGCAGTGGAGTGGATGTATCGAGATTACGAATATGTGTATCAAACTGTCAGGTCAGGTGATCTGGATTACTAATCCTTCCACCATATAACTTCCCACAACCTAGCTAGCAACCTTTTCAATCAAGCAAGCTTTACACCTTCCACAGAAGAAATAATCAATCAACATCAGAACTTCAAAGTGTAAGAAAATATTGATGTGAAAACCAAAGCCGCATGGATATGGAGCAAATAAAAACCAATGGAAGGAATGCATGAAGGCTTCGCTTTCCTGAGAGTTCTAAGAAAAGAAAAAAAAGCAGGACAAAAAGAAGGTCATAATGTGCAGAATTAAAACAGAGAAGGGAATAGAAAAGGTAATAAACACATAGATAACAACAAGTAACTAACTACAGCGTGACTGGTGGGAGAGAGGCTTTCGAAAACAAACCAGATAATATAACCAAAGGCAGAAATATAAAAACTTGCGCCCATAGGAAAAGAGCAGGATTCATCGGGTATCGATCCGAAAGTCGTGAGTTATGTAAAACAGAAACAATGTAAATACTAAGGGCATATATATATGTACAGTACAAGTCAATAAAATATATAGGGAGATAGGGAGACCGCCATATCACCCCGTTTCCTCTCCCCCCGTTGAATTCGGTGTGTATGTGCTACTGCAATGAGGGAGTTGGGAGGAGCGAGGAATTATATATATATAAAGATCATGAATCAAAACGCTGGGACGCTTTCACGTGGGGAAATAAATAAATAAAACAATGAAATAACGAACGAAGCTGAAGTATGATGATATGAAGGCCGTTGGAGAAAATAGTTAATGGAAGCAACATTGAAGTAATTATTAAATCCTGTCATATCATCCCTGCGACCCGGTTTCTTTCTGGCGTCTCCATGTTGGCGCGTCGGTAGGCGTCCTCGATCTTTCTATGGTGTGCTGCCATAAACCCATCGTCACTATCGGTCTCAGGAGGATCGTGGTTCGTCTTTCTATCGCTACCCCGTCGAGACGAGAGTCTGTCCGAAGAATCTGAGTAAGATGGTAGCAGGAAGCTTTGTTGACCTGTGGGCCGCTGGTAGCTCTGCAATTGCGAAACGTCCCGCTGCAGTTGGAAGATTTGCTGCTCGAGAAGCTTGCGCGCAGTCTGTTCTCGCCGGACGAGGGTTGTTAAGGCGCTGTATTGTTCGACTGAGATTCCCTTGAAGTCGGAAGCGAATGACGATGGCGTCTGGCAGGAGGCGTTGTGGCTAGCTGTATATGGGCGCAGTGTTGCTGTACTGTCGGGCCTGTCGGGGGTGGGTGAGCTTCTAGGAGGCGTGAATGAACTGACGAAGTTAGATGGAAGGGCTTTTGTCACTGTGGCTTGTTGGTTACTGTTATATGGGGGATTCCGTCGCATCCCAGCCTCAAAAGTCTGCTTGACTGGGCAAAAGTCATGACCCTGAAGCTTCGCGATAGCAAATTCAAGATCCATCAGCTTCACTTCCAACATATTCACTCGCTGCGCAAGGCCGGTGTCGGAATTATCTTGCATCGTCCCCATCAGTGCGGTGAAATGAAAAGGATCGTCTAGCGACTGCTCAACCTCTGCATGGTCTGTGTCTTCTAAAACACTCGCAATTGTGCTTCGGGTTTCAGGTCGGGCGGACATGGATGGGCTCGCATCCATCTTGAGAAAGCTTTCCCTCCAGAACTTAATCTCGTCACTACGCCGTCGCCATTGTATTGGAGACATGCGATGAGCTCTTGCCATGTCCCTCAATTCAGATGCGCTCCGCGATCGTCTTTTTTGTTGCCTTGATGTCTTTTGTTCAAACGCGTCCGGCAATTCGACACCACGTGTTGGCGAATGGATGCTGTTCCTCCTCGAATTCTGCCGGGCAATTTGAATGGCAAGGTCGCGGGCTTCGTGTGCTGATAAAACAATACTTGGCAAGGTTGCCCGTCGCCGTGGCCGTCGGTAGTCCAATTTTGGTGACCTGTTACCTGATCGCCGCGAATGAGATCCCCCCGCACTCTTCAAGGGGCTCTGAGGAGGGGTTTGTACCAGTGAGCCGGGATTGGTTGGCAAGGATGGCGCTCTATTCGATCGCGACCGCAAAGATCCAGACACCATCTTAACTGGATGCCCTACAGTCTCTAGAGTAGGGGTCCACTGTGGTGGTAGGGAAATATTGTGAGCTTCCCTTCTCAAAGATTCAGGGTCACTTCGCCGCTTCCGACCGAAAATCTTGCGCATTACCGATTTCAAGGTGCTACCCCTTCTTCTACGAGTGATAGAATCCTTCGTCATAGCCGTGGAGATTGAACTTTGAGGAGCATGAGATGTTGCGGCATTCAATGGATTGATGCGGGTGGAGTGACGCGAGTTGTCTAGGCCAGGCATAGCAGTCGTTGGCTTGTTCGTCGAGAGGACTGCGGATGCGGAGACAAGCTCCGAATTATGAAGCGGAAGGACATCGACCGCATCCTGACTACTCCTAGCGAAGGGAATGGGGTCTGATATCCTGATATCTTCCGAGAGGATTTTGGAGGGTGGTGGCGAACAGTCGCGAGCTCCATTGCTGGGTAGCATTGGTTGAGACCGAGGAGACATGGTTTAAAGGGCGACCAGCTGGACTTTTCGCGGGACACCGTCACCCTCTTTTTCGGTTCGTGGCTGAGCCCCTTTTATCGATAGTCTCTTCCCCTCAAGGGTTGTGGCTTGCGCTGTGCGTAGCCGTGGGTTTCTGGAACAGGGGCTTACAGATCGTCGGTGGGCAGTGATCCCATGATAGCACTGATAGACAAACGACAAATGGATGAAAGCCAGCCACCGGCGGGGTCGCAAATATCGAGTGGTGAAGCCAATGATCGACGGATGGGATGAGGGAGAGATAGATTACCCTACCTGGCTATAGGAAGAGGGTCCAGCGTAGTGGACCAATGAAGCAGTAAAAATGACAGCCGAAAGTGGACAAAAACAAAAAAGGAAGGTGACAAAATTGCCTAGGTATGAGCGACTTGGGAGAACAAAAGAATGATAATTATTAATAATAGAGAGGGAGTGAAGGAGAATATCAAAAATCGAAGCCTCCGCCGGAAGCTCGGGGGAGAGCTTCAAGGAAGTTGCCGAACAGCAGCGCCAACACGTCAGCCGAGGGGGTAGAGAAGACAACAACCTTGTAATAATAAATAAGGCAGGGTTAAATGCAGAAGAGCGATAGGAACAAAGCATACCGAATCAAAAGGTTAGGAGCATCAATAGTTGCAACACCGGCTAGGCCTAGCAGGGGCGTTCTAGTACCTAGGGCTTCAAATACCAATCAAAAAAGGGACGTCGAACGTGAGCCAACCACCACTTGATTTATGCCCAAACGGCCATCATGGGCAAGGCATCGGCCTCAAAGATGAAGAGGAAACACCCGGGGGAAAAAAAAAAGAAAAGGAAGAGAAGCAAAAGAGGGAGAGGAGAGAGAGAGAGAAGAAGACAAGAAAAAGGGGGGGGGAAGGATTGGTATATTTAAACGGACGGAGGTTTTAATTAATTAGGGCTAAAAGCTCTTGGGGCAGACAAAGCGGGGGGCAGCGAATACGCTATGCCTACTCGGGCTAGCCAGGGCAGCGCTGGAGCCTCCTTCCCCTCCTTTCCCCCTTCCTTGATCCGCCCTGATCCACACGCGGAAGAGTTAGTTAACTACAGGAACCAGGAACCGAACCAGGAACCTCCACCAACTAAGTACTTAGTTACTACTTAACTACTACTTTATACATAGTTACGACTAACTTACCTTACCAACTGGCTCGCTCTGGGAGACAAGACTGGAGGGCTTGAGCGGTTGGCCCCTTGCCCCTTGCCCCTTGGCCCTTGGCCCTTGGCCCTTGGGACGAGTCACCAGCATCATCATGGGCACCGGAATGGGACTTAGCGCTGTCTCGCACTCCTAAAAACTTAATTAAGTCTTCACTCCTCCTTCGCTTGTTATGCTTGGAAACCTACTAAGGCTTGGGTGGGCTTCGCTCGTTAACTCAACTCATCATCGAAGGCTGGCCAAACACAGAGCTTGGGTGTTGGTTGATGCATGATCTTCGTTCTTACATCCTCTTGGGTCCTTGGAGCTGTGCCTCTGACAAGAAAATAAAGAAGCAGAGGAAGACAAGCTCGTGCCCAGAGTCGCATTCATTGGCACACAATTCATTATGCCGAGGATGTTGCTTCCTTCTGAAGGGCAATCATTTTTATTGATTTGCCTGCGTACCCTCGCGCGCCCTGCCACGGTACAAAACAAGAAATATACCGCTGATCCGCATTTACTACAGCGTAATAATGGGTTTGCGGACTTAACTTATGGACTGGAATATTATATTAACAGCAATTTACTTTACCGTGAGTGGCTAAACACCACCTGAAAGTAACTCTGTACCAAACTTCAGCCCGTGTGATGTGAGGCACAGAATGTCTGACGGAGATGGCAGATCTCTTCCCAGAAACCGCATCTTGCAACTCTCTGTTAAATAATAATGCGGAGATTCTCGTGGTGGTTTCACCGCTTGCTACGGAAGCCAGCCCAGGAGCCAGGGCCAAGTTTTTGAACTAGCCAACGCTGTGCTCGTGAGGCGTCGGTTCACACGAACGCTGTGCCATTCATTATTTACTAATTTATCTTCAGAATACCATACCACCCTGATGTCTTTCTTAGTGCTTGGACCCCACCATCGCCTTGACATGACCTATTCTTCGACGGGTATCGCGACAGAAAAATGAATAATAATGCACCCAAACCCTGTTTGCAGGAATACTTGACCAAATATTTCGAAGAGGAAGCTACAATCTCAACAATCAGGCAGATGCGCTCACTTAATGTAGAATCACACATTTATGCGCACCTTTCTGGCACAAGCGAGCTTGCCAAACCTACCCAGAACAATGCCCCAGGAGGGTTTTTTCACGGCAATTTCCCCGCTGTCCGGTGGTTATGCTGTCCCGGAGTTATTCGCATTAATTTATGACACAAAGCAGCCCGGAAATCTCTCAGAAAAGAGTAAATTCCTAGCAGCTGCCTAGGCCGGGAATCTTAAACCAAGAATGAGAGCCATGGTGCAGGATCATGCAACTTTCGAGTTTCCAGACTTCCTCGCAAACGCATTGAATGTTGTTCATTAATTAACCCATTATTACTTGTTGACTTTGTCACACAGAATGTAGTTCCAGCATGCATGCATATCCCTTAACACCCTTTCTTTGTTCGCCATCCCGTGCCGAACCACTCATGCACGCTGTCCACAAATAAATCTGCAAACGGCCAAATCATGCCACTCCCGTTCCCATCCAAACAAAAAAACGAGGACAGATCCTCACCGCCAGGGACATTGTGCCACTGCCATGGCTGTGACCCGGTTCCCTCACTGGGGGACGCTAAGCCGGCTCGAGCCCTTGACCCTGGGGCTCGAATGATTGATAAGCTGATGGCTGCACGGCTGACGCCTGCCCCGGAACAGACCCTCGTGCTCGGCCAAAATTTCAAGTCCCAACTCCAGATGGCAGAAAGTGAGGGATGACGCTCCGACCCGCGTGGGTTTTGCAGCAACTGGCGCCAAATAAAGTGGAGATCCTAGACACTGTTCGTCGTTCCACCGCTGAAATTGTTTGGAAACAGAGAGTGGGAGCGACATTTTGCTTCCAGAATGCCGTTCACTTTCTTTCCATTTATGCGGCAGGTGGATGAACATACCAAACATCCTCCCACTCAACCCCTTCAAGCATATGTACTAAATCAACTGCATATTTGGCCTGCTGACCTGGATGAGCTTCCTTCATTTTAGGGAATACAAGGACATAATTTCCATTTATGTCAGCTTTTCACGACAACAGGATCTGCCTTTGCCACGTGGCATGTCCCTTTTTCCAACTTCTGTTCTTCATGATGTCGACCACTACGGAGTAGTTATATCAGCCTGTTTCAGCAGACCATTTGGAATTATTCCTTGACGAATACGCTTCGATCCAGCAGCCCCGCGAGGTCGTTTCGGTAACAGAAGCTACTAACACTCTTCTAGCGTTGAAATCGGGCCGGGCAGCCCCTGGCCCTTCTTGCATTATTGATACAGCGACGCAACCCACCCTAGCTTCATACCATAACCAATCACACCATCGGGCCTACTGTGATGAGTGTAACCTTTGCGTTCATTTGAGCTGAGGAAAGCATAATAATTTTATGCATTATTCAACAACCAAGCCTTTCACCTGTTGCTTTGTTTTCTGAACGAAGTCTTGCTGCTTCAGCTGACCCAGGTTCGTTTCTTCTCTTTCTTCGAGAACTTGCATGGATTGCTTGGAGACAATGAAAAGATATTATACCAAGAAGAAAACAGGGCAATAGCGCAAGATAAAGCTGGGAGGGTTTATTTGTTTCTCTTGAATTGGCGAATAAATCAAACAGCGACTGCGGACCCTACCCTACCCCCACATTCATTTGAGACGATCGCGGTAGTTCACTCAGCGTGTTCCGCTGTACGCAGTTTGTCAACTTGGCCATCAAGCAACTACTGCTTAGATTGAGGGGACCTCAATCATTCGGTATCGGCCATGGTGTGTGTATGCAGGAATGGCGATTCAGAGAAAATGTCTCCCCACGCACTCTGGTCAAATGCACCATGTCTTATTTTTTCTTATTATTTCCGGACAGGGAAGCTGTGCCGACCTCCACTGGCACCCCACCATTTCGAGGCCGCGCGACCACTTTTATGGCAAGATCTACTACATACTTCCTCCTACACACAAGACTTGCGTAAATGCGGAACATGTTTCATACTTAAAACGGTTTGATGATTTTTATTGGAAAGTAGGGGCTCATCAGAATGACTGAATGGAAAACGTTTAGGATATTTTCCTAAGTGGTGTTTAACCCTTGAATGCCTTTGGTTTTCCTTTAGTATCACAATTAACTCCCCACCCAACTCCAGGTATTACCTTCATGCATGGACTTGCTAGAGCTACGAGACCAAATATTTGCCCTAGGTATGTATATAGCTGAACAAACTGTCGACTCCAAACATTACTATCGACCATTTACGTCCGCAGCGAAGTTTTTCGAGCCTATATATGGCACTCTCAGGGCTCCTGGTAGGCTGATTGGATGCGGGTTTGCTTCTCCAAACGCCCGAGAGGTAGAGGGTTTGCTTTTATCTGCTCCAATCTGTGCTACACAACGCGTGTCGCTCGGGATGCTTTTGTCTGGGTTATCAATATCAGTGTATACCCAACTACACTGGATGGTAGATTACTTGATCAATAACGACTTTCTAATGGCTAATAAGCTCCGCTCAATCCGTGCCGCCCAAGGGCGCTCTCATTTTTGACGCTTGCAATTGACATACAAGTATACTATGGGGTTCCTATATGTCACATACATCAAAAAGGACACCAACAACCCACCCCGTCCACGGATGGCCTACAAGCCGCATATTGCTGCAGAGCCGTCAACAAAGATATTCATACATCAATTCCGACGGGCTGATGGTCGTGCTAGAGAATCGGGTCGGTGACATGCTCCTCCAAAGAATAACACAGCTATCCTAGGGGAAGGCTTTCACCTCCCAAAACTCGTGCGGCAGTCAGCCCTGTGCTCTAGCCAATCCGCAGGTTTCTCGCCCTGAGAAGCATTTTTGCATGCTACATTATCGTGAAAAGTGGTCTGAAAATTTGTGGAGTTCGTCGCTTTGAGGGAAACTCGCGTTTCTCGGATTTATGCTCCGCTCTTTAGGATTGCATATAATCGCCAGCGTCGGGGTATCGCAGATCGGCATTTTCCTCCAAGAAATCCATCCAGCGTCGTAGGAATTGGCTGCCACTGTATTGAGACAAGGACCAGAGAACAGGCGAGAGCCCATGAGTTAAAACGATTATTTTCCTCAAAAATGATGCAAATCGATTTGGTTCCAGATCTCGATTTTGAGGGGAAACCGAAACGCCTCTCTCATTATGCCGAGGAAGGTACAGTACAAAGGGATGAAAAAGGAAATAGGCTTCATTTGACTTACCGACGAATCGTTTCAGAATCACCACACACGCACAAATGACGCTTGGGCCGGGTCATGGCAACTGTTGGTTTTGACATTAGCGAGCCTTTCAAAGACATCTCTCAAACACACGTGGCTATTTGCCACATTTTTGTGCCATTTTATATGAAATACAATGCTTCCCTCTTCACGAACGGAAAAGAAAAGCAAGGGCTGTAAGACATAATCGAGAGCAACGTACCATTTAATCGCCTCTTCTCAGCGAGAAACCCAACTTCGTGCTCTGGATTGCTACGCACAAGACTCACGACTACAGCCTCCTTCTCCCGTCCCTGAAACCCATCCACGCTCCCCAATTCTAGTCCAGGATACTTGTCCTTCAGCATGTTGGACAATAAAGCCAGCTGCGCATTGTACGGAGTAACAACAGCGATGTCTTCCGGTTTCACCCCCGTCGCAACCAGATTCTCAACGTGTCTACCCACCAGCACGGCTTCCAAATCATTGCTTTTACTCTCGACAAACATGGAGATCTGCTTCTGCTTTGCCGCCACGACAGGTTCCTCGGCTCGCTCAGGGAAATCCCCGCCCTGGGTATCATAGAATACTAGAGGCTCCCGCGTGTCATCAGACTCTTCAACTTCGTAAGGCAAATCCTTAAGCAATCGTAGTTTCACTGCGTCTGCAGCGATGAGCTTTGCTTCGTAAAGTTCCTGCGAAGGAAATTGCATGATTTTCTCGTGCATCCGATACTGAGTTGTTAGCATCCGTTTGATGGCGGGACCATGCAGTGACAGCAAACGATCAAATAGTGTCATTTCGAGCGTCGCCTTCTTTGTCGCCTTATGCTGCCCTATATTGTTACCCTTGTCGGCATTTGGGGCAGATATTTCGTCACTTGCCGACATTCCGTTCCCTACTGTCCCGCTAGATTTCGACGTCACAGACTTGATGGTTGGAGGCAACTGCAGGTGGTCGCCAGCCAATATTGCCTTGGAAGCAGACAGCAGAGGAACCCAACATTGAGCTTCCAATGCCTGGCTTGCCTCGTCAATAATCACAACGTCGAATTTCTGGTTTCTTAGCTGATGCCCACCAGCACCATGCAGTGTTGCCAGTACCACTTTGCTCTCCGTAACAAGATTACCGACGCATTTAGATTCCCGTTCTCGGAACTCCTTGCGTAGTTCCTTTAGATCTCTGTAGATCTCTCTCCGCTCCCTGCCGCTCCTTGTCTTGCGTATGCTGGCCTGTTTGGTTTCGATGTCCTTCCTGACGTCTTTGACAATGGCGGCAGCATCTGATGTTTGAATTAAAACCTCCAAAGAGTGATCTAAAACAGTAGATAGAAGACGGGCGGGATGTCCAATTCTAACCAGTGGCACTTTATGTGGAGCCAGCCGTTCGACAATATTGTCCACTGAGACGTTTGACGGGCCGCAAACTAAGATCCGGAGATTCTGGCGAAGAAGTTGCAGAATCAGTTCTATCAGAGTGTATGTTTTCCCAGTGCCTGGTGGGCCATGAATGAGTGCGATTTCTCTCGATGCAAGCGCAAATCGAACTGCTTCTCTTTGTGAGTCGTTTAGCGTAGAGTCGATGAACTCGATTGTTCCAAGAGAACTCAGATCCACAGGGGAGGGCGCCGTATGCCCAAAAACAACCCTCATGAAATATGTGTAGTCTGACTCCGTCATGTTCTCCATTTTGGTCATCGTTTGCTTCATCCTGAGTACGAAATAGTTAGCACACTTTGCTCGCGTGGTTTTCGTAACGATAACAAGAGAATTCTCACCTTCGGTAGGTAACATCGTTCGCCAATTTCACCCTAGAATAAGCCCATCAAATCAGCCAACAGATCCAGTGAAAGCCAATTGCCTCCTTTTTCTCCCAGTGAAAATTGAATAACAGACAGACAAGGCTCACATCCAAACCTTCTTCCCCCAAAGATCCTCCACAGACTCCTCATCTCTGCCCTTTCCAGCAGCACCTCCCTGTCCCCCAAACGCAACCCAAACGCTCCTCTCCCCAACCCTCGTCACCACCCCTTCCAGCGCCCTACCTTTCCTCCCCTCCTCCTCCTTTGCTCCTTTCGCCCTACCAGAACCAGCACCACCACGAGCACCCGCAGCCACATCCTCAACCCTCACTATATCACCCACCCTCATCCCATGAGCCCCCAACCTCTCCGCGCCCCCATCACCACCCCCACCGGCTCCCTCGCCATCCTTACCACCCCTCGCGCCAGACCCAATTGCACTATCCACTCCAAATTCGCCTACCTCACGCCCGCCCATGCCCGTCCGAGTGTTGACGAGAACCAGGCCTGTGAGGGCGTATCCGGCAACTTGTAAGGTGCGACGTGTTGAAGCGGACACGCCGCCTGATTGTGCGATTGATGTGGAGAGCGGGGACGAGGAGACTTCGGCTTCATGTTCTGCGAGGAGGAGTTGTTGTTGGGTTTGGGCAAAGGATTGGATGGGGATGGGAATGGGGATTGGGGTTGGGGTTGGGGCTGGCATGAGGGGTGGCCGTGGGGTTGGTTATCTAGTTGTTGCTTGTTGAGGAGGGGTTGTTGTTCGGTGTTTTGTATTACTAGGTAATAGATTTTGAAGGGATGAAGAAATGAAGGTGATGGTTTAAAAATGAAGACTATGTCAGTTTGTTACATGCGTGGTAAGCGGGGAGAATTGATTGACGGTGCTGGGTTTCTTTTGACGGTTTCTCGTGGTGATGTCAGAGGGGAAGAAAATAAGATTCAGTTACGGTTTCAAATAAAAAAGGGGGGCTCAGTAATTATACATGAATTGAGTCTAATAAGTAGTTATTCTTCAAATTACCACCGGCTATCGTACATACAAATATATCGTTAATTATCCCGATCTCCGTACAGAGAACGCAGCAAAACAAGGCGTCCACCGATCCATGGGGAGCTGTGTGCAAAGCTAGCTTGCCGGCACAGACGACGTCTAGCTATAATGGAATTGCGCATATTTCATGTTCTCTTAGCATATCAGACCGGCTATTTAGCGGCGAAAGATGACATACGACAAGGGTATCTAAATATTCTTTAAAATCAGACCTCTCCAATCATCTACCCTCTTCAATTTTGATTGTCATCCTGCTCTCCCTCTTCACCGTAGTGGCGGCATCCTCTTCAGTCTTCACCTTCCTCTCCCTCTTCACCTTAGCTGTCCACCCTTTAATCTCACTCTTACACAACCCGGTCCCCGCAAGTTCGCACTCCCCACATCTCCTAGCCACTGGTAAACACACCGTCTGCCCCAGCCCAACCAACAGCTTGTTGACCTCATGCCACTTGTCCTTGGGCAGCCAGCTCTCCAGCGCCGCCCGGGTCTCCTCGGGCGTCTTTGTTTTATGCCACCCCCACAAATTCGTGATACGATGCACATGTACGTCGACGCCGATGCCCTCATCACGGCCCCACGCGGAACTCATACATAGATAAGCCATTTTAGGCCCGACACCTGGTAGCCGCATGAGTCCCTCCGCGGTGGGTGGAATGTCAGAGTTATACTCGTCCCGAAGGATGACGGCGGCAGCTTTAATGTATTTTGTTTTGTTATTGTGGAAGCCAACAGTCCTGATGAGTTCGTTGAGGCGGGATGGGCTTACGGCAAGGATGTTCTCAAGAGTTAAGGTGCTTTTTGTGTGTTGGTTGTTTCGGTCCCATACTAATACTTTCTTCGTTTCTCGTTCCTGTTCCTCTTCTACCTTTGTTTCCACCTTCACATCTCCCTGCGCTTCTCTTTTGAAAGTCTGTCCCTCATTCTCCTCTTTCTTTATCATCTGCCTCGCTTCCTCTCTCTTCTTCACAGCTGCTACCCCCTCCCCCTCCCCCTCCTCCTCCTCCTCCTTCTTCTTCGTCGAGCCTATTTCTTCCCCTTTTACTGAGTGTCCCACGTCCTCCTCCTTCTTCACGACCCGCATTCCTAAACCCGTATCCATATTAGCCTGTTCAGGCGCCAGCTCTGTATGTAACCGTTGCATCGCAATGGCAGTGACTGTATCTTTCGTCTGAGATGACAGCATCAGGGCTATGAGGATGTGGAAACGCCTGTCACGCGGGGAAGAATCGCGCCAGTAGAGCTGGGAGCAGCCCATGGTATCTACTGGCGCAGTGGGGTTTTTGCGGCGCATTTCCTTCACAATATCATAGATCTTTTCCCAGTTTGATGGAGGCTCGACTTTGACAACGCCATTCGGGCCGGTTGATTTACGCGCCGGTAGCCGTCGCGGTTGTCGCTTTGGGGTTGGCTTTGCCTCTGACTCTATCTCCTCCTTTTTAATGATCGTAGACGTTTGTGATGTGCTGGACATCCTACGTGAAGGTATTTGGCGGGATGCAGAAGCTGATCGCTTGAATTCGATATTGGATAAAGAATCCTGGCCTCGCTTTCGTTTCCGCTCTTGCATTATCGGACGCGTTGGTGTAAGCAGGTCTTCAATGTCCGTAGTGTTCGCAGAGGAGAGTTCAGAGTCATCATGACTATCGCTCTGAGGCTCGTCTTTTATTAGAGAGCTATTATGAAGGGATGCCAGCTCGCTTTTTCTCCTCTCCGCCAGGCCATAGCTATTTACCGGGATATTTGCGTTGGCAATTCGCTGCGATTGACGGCGTGGAGCGCTTGATAAGATCTCAACTAACTTTGCAGTCTCCTTGGATACCCGCGATGTTCTCATTTTGGGGGCTAAAGGGTATATGCGGGATATTCGTAGCTATTGCAGTCAAGTCATAAACAAGCTTCGAGAACTCCTGAACATTCGCGCATTGAGTCAAGAGGAAGTGCATCACGTGGTGATAATCAAACCCCAGGTAAATAACCTCGGCGCAAACCGAGCTTCGTTCCACCAGATCAACAGCTCAACCTCTGCACCACCATAATCATGAAATAACTCCCAACACACCCTCTGTTGTCTGCAACTCACGCCTCCCGCAATCAGTAGAATAGCTCAGCGCCATGGCTCAACAAGCCCCTTCCGCGTCCACCACAAAACGCCTCATCCGCGAGCTCAACGACTACTCCAAATCCCCCAACGAAGCTCTCCTACATCTCGGCCCCATAAGCGACACAGACCTGCTGCGCTGGGAAGCAGTCCTAAAGGGCATAAATGGCACACCATACGAAGGTATTATTTATTTCCCTCCATCCTCTTACCTCCTACCAATCGCGCAAGTTTTGCAATATAAAGAAGGGGGGGAAAAAAGTTAACAAAACCTCCCCCAAAAAAACCCCCCAGGCGGCCTCTGGCACCTAACCATCACCATCCCGCCGACCTACCCGCTCCACCCACCAGTTATAGCCTTCAGAACCCGTATCTGCCACCCAAACGTCTCCTTCACGACAGGCGAGATCTGCCTAACCCTTCTAACCACCGAGCATTGGAGTCCCGCTTACACGCTATCGACGACCATGTCGGCTATCCAGCAACTGTTGACGGATCCTAGACCTGAGAGTCCCCTCAATGTTGATGTGGCGGTGTTGATGAAGAGTGGGGATACTGTGGCATGGGAGGGGCTGGTAAGGTATTGGACGGGGGAGGAGAGGTGGGAGGGGGATGGGGGAAAGAAAGCTATCAGAAAGGGGGGTAGATGACAGGGTGGAAAGGATGGAGGGGGATTAAATATATATATATATATATATATTACGTCTCTGCTGTAGTGGGTATGAGGTGGAAGCTCATGGCCAGAGGAATGTATTAGTTTCCTCTTGTCCTTTCGATTTCGGCTACCTCCTTATGGGCCCGGGGTAGGGAGGATACCTCGAGCTTGGTGCGTGGTGGACCCTGGATGCCGCTAGAATGTACGAGGTACATGTGAACTATTCCTCACGGGAATTTAGACAGTTTGAGATTCTTCAGGTTTCGGATTCTATGGGGAGACGCGTTTCCATACTTGTATGGGGTTGGATTTACGTTATACTGTCGGCGTCCCTCGACGGGCATGTAAGCGCCTTTCCTTTCCTTTCCTTTCCTTTCCTTTTCTTTTTTGTTGAGATACCATACGGGAGCGGATTTTGTTTATGCAGTTATATATAGTATTTATGTATTCATGTTTATAGAGCGTTTTTCGGTATTATTAACTGTATAATTGATTAGCTGCTCCTCTACTCTGTACGGGTGCAATGCAATGAGAGCTAATCCTGTCAACAAAAGAAGCGAGAACGAGAGGGTGAAAATTACAACTAACTCCTTCTCCAGACTTTTTCTCATAGGGTGTTTCGATATATATATGAATCTTTCTTATTTTTATTTCTTATTTCTTATTTATTATTAAGAAAACTTTGACCGGCAAGAGAACAGAGGAACATGGCCTAAACCGTTTTCTTTGACCGGTGGAATAGTTAAATATTCCACGGATCGACACCTCCTCCGAGCTCTAATTTTCACCGTGATGCGAAAAGGAAAAATGAAAATGAAAAACCCTCCCAAACGAAAATAAGATGTTAATAAAACAGAGGTAATAGACAGAGGGTCCAAGTGCTTCTGGGTCCGTTTTCCTATCTTGCTTACCACGACTAATGTAAATCCTTCTCCACCCACGATCATCCTTAAGTTCTTCCTTTCCCCTTTTGTTTTTATTATTTATTTTATTGTTTTAAACCCATTGCTCGTCCCGGTATCGTGTGTATCTCCCTGGCCCCTACACATTTTCCAATTTAAAACGCCAATGCAATGGCAATAGCACCACTGAATCCAAGCAATCCCAACAACCCTTTCTCCATAGCGGCAGCTATAATGGGTGCTGCACCCGTCTGCAAACCAGGTGGTGTTTGCCGGTTCTCTCCTGGTGAATTAGTTCGCGTGGGTTGGACAACTACGACAGTCGTAATGGTACTCGGGGAGCCATCTGCGTTTGTGGTCGGGATGAGCTTTGTTGAACTGCTTGGCGGAGGGGTGCTCCTCCGAGTGGGAGTGCTAGTGGGTGATCTGGGCCTCGTGGTAGGTTCTGGGCTAGGTCTGGGTGTGGAGCGCGCCCTCGAGGAAGGGGGAGGTCTCGGAGGCGTTCTGGATTCCCTAGATTGTGGAGGGGTTGGGCTTGTGGTTGTTGTTCTTTGAGGTGGAGGACTGGGTGGAGGGGTTGGAGGGGTTGAAGGGGTTGAAGGTGATGGCGGGGGCTCCCGAGTGGTAGGTGTGGGTGTAGGTTCAGGTTCGGGTTCGGGTGATTGAGTTGGTGGTTGAGCTGTAGGTGTTGTAGCATCGTCGGCTGAAGTGTCACGGGCCGAATTCTGAGACGGGGGCCTATTAGGTGTGGTTGGACCTGCTGTCGGTTGATTTTCTGTCTCTGGAGAGGATGTCGGGGAGGACTCACTCCCGTTTTGTCGTTTGGTTAGGTCATATTGACGAGAGACGATATAGTTCTCGAGGTATATCTCTCGAGACCAGAGTCTGGCGGACAAAGCCTTCAAGAGGCCGGTGAATGGGGTATGTGAGCGGGCCTGTCTTCCCCTCTCCAGGTCGACAGCGGACACGAAGGAGATTAGGACTAGGACTAGGAGGAGGGTAGAAACCCACGGTCGAATCATTTTTGATTCGTCTACCGTGGAATGACGAGCAGAGATGAAGAAATAGTTCTCAAATAGCTCTCAATATAGGTTTGGCTTGATAGAGGTGTGGAGGTAAGGTAGAGCGACAGGGAGCCACGACTCGATACTCTATAGGCATACAAAAAAGCGCCAGGTGGTCAAGCTGGAGAGAATATAGAGGAATCAAGTAAGAAAAAAAGACTTGCTAGGCTTTGGAAATGTTCAAGAAGACAGAGATAGTCAGCAAGAGCAAAGAGGGAGTGAATTAGAAGAAGAAATGATTGCTGTGCAGGTGGTATGGTATGGTATATACCGAATGAGGAAATTGTCGCTGTGAAAAGAGATGAACAACGCTTCACGAAGTCTAATAACAGAAATAAAGAGGTTGAAGCCAAGAACCGAGGTTGTTCAGCAAAAAGAAGCAAGAAGACGATGATTGGAAATGGTTCCAATTGAGTTGTTTGAAAAAGATCCACGGTAAGATTTCATGCAGAGCTTGTGACTGCGGTGTATCGTATCCCAAGCTGCAGAGACAACAATTGGAGTGGGGGGTTTTGGTTTTAGGTCTGGTGTCATAGCAACAATACTGTGTATAGAATGGCAACCATGCAGTAATAACCTGGCCAGGCTACTTGCGTGCTTGGACAGCTTTGTTCCAGGCTTTTTTCCCTGATATACGCTGTATGTTGATGTGGGATGTCTCTCGTTGTGCACTACCTACTCTACTACTGCATCGCATCCCAGCCGGCGGAACTTCTTTATTAGCGGTGGATTATTGACGGATCTCCCTTTCGCCTGTTCTTGGCCTCCTTGCGAGTTGCAAGTTGCAACCAATGCGCGCCGCCATCCCGCCACCCCTCGAACCACGGTTCCCATGGAACTGGGCAGATCTATGCTGCTGATTGGCGTTGTGTGAGTCCTCATCCTCACCAGAGGCCCCAGACAAGCCCCAAGAGCTCCAGAGCCGGGCTAAAACGGGGCTTGGTTCTGAACCAGCCACCTGGGGCTTTGGGAGTTCCCAGGAGTGGATAGGCTTGAGAAGCTGAGACGCCTTCGTTTGAGATATTCTTGTTCATGGACAGTTGTCACCACTTGGCAGCTGGCGCCATTGCGATTCTTATACGAGCAACAGATCGAATTTGAGCCTCATAAAGCAGTCCAAAAAAGAGCGCGATCCAACCTTATGTTTCTGTTTTGTCGATTTATGATTGATTTTTTTTTTAATTCTCATTTTATGCTTTATTTATTTATTTATTGATTTAACTAGTTAACTATTGATTTATATCTCAGTATTCATTCATCGCTGATGCAAAACGGTTCTATTTACTTTCTCTCCTAGCGTCGGCCCAAATTTTGCCCAACAACAAGTACGGAGTAACAACAACTGAAAAAAATAAAGTTCATGGATCATCAGCCTCGGCCAAAATGTATTCAAAATGTCACAGTCTACCCTACGTAGTAGATGTAACATATCGAGGTCGACTCAGAGGGACTGACTCAAGGGATTCGTTATTCTCCGCCAGCCACAGAATCGCAGATTTTCTTTGACTGAATTCATGACAAGGAAAACGTCGTAGCAAGCCACATCGACCACGTCAAAGGCCGTGGAAAGACGGTGGCTGAATCGCTTGCGAAGTTGCGATTGCTCTCGTCTCCTCAGTGGCAAATAGTCGCATAACAGACCACGGCGGGCAGGGTGTTCTTGTCGCCAGTTCTGAATGGGACGCAACCCCAAACTTCAAAGACATATCCACGCGTCCCATTTTAAAGTTCCGCATGGATGCTCGGGATTGTCCAGTTGTGCATGTTTATGCCCTGTAATCTGTGAAAATGTGCAGTATTGCAGAAAACAGATCAGAATGAGCGAAAGCGGACTTGCATAAGTAGAGTAAGTTTCAGTACGGAGCGGAGTAAATATAAATGAAAACCCTATCCATAGTGTTTTATCCCCGCTTCGAGTTTCAGGTCAGTCATAGACTCATATACAAGGGCTGGCCTCTTTGGGAAAAGTTGATATTTTTCTAGCCCTTCTTTTGACAAAAGATTCCATCCAGCATGGATCAAATGTCGCGCAGCAGTCCCGTCCAGCCAGCCGCCGCTGTGCATCCAAAGCTATTTATAGCTCTTCGAAATCGGCACACATACTTTAGGGTCCTGTGTGCGACTTTACGGTTTCTGGTTGGACGAGAGTGTCTTGGTTTCGAATGTGGGACACCCAAAGAACAGAACAGAAAAGGAAAAAAAAAAAAAAGCTTGCAAGCCACGTTATTGCGTAAACCTGTTGTTTGTCGACGACCTTGGACCGTTGGACGCCGCCCGGCTATGCCAATGGCATTTTACCTTCATCGTATCAACAACGGCCAGTCAGTCTTTTTCCCTTGAGTGTGGGAAATCCATCCACTCCGCGCCTCTGAATAGATAAGCAATAATATGGTGAAACTCACCTTCTAGCCGATTTCCCTCAAGAGAAAAGGAGCATCCACATTCGCGCCTCCGGATATGCCGGCTCAAATGAGTTAGTTGCCTACTACCCTCTCAAATCCCCATTGCGGATAGAAGAAGAATCAGGGTGTTATTTCGGTGGGAATTGAGATCACCTGGATGCAATAATGATGAAATTCCCGTATTCCTGTTCCGGTTTCCGGTTTAGGTACCTTTGGAACGTACTGGAACGCGGGCCGTTGTGCACCGAAACTTACCCTGGAGGCAGGCAGTGTTTTCCCCTACCGCAGGGTTTGCTGCTATAGACGTCATTTTGAGGGGCCATCGAGTTGGCATCGAGCTGCCGGGGGTTTTTTTTAAATCTCCTGGTGCTGTGAATCTTTCTCTGGCGATGGCTGGCTCATCTATAAAGCAATCGCACTACATACATTACGTATGCTTGGCATGTATTACTAATACCTCCATTTTGATGACTTAGCGTATGTCATTATGTTGGCCGTTACGGCCGTTGCGGTTAGCGATCCCACTAGATCACGTGACCCACCACTATATTATGTTCTTGTAGATAGATCTATCAATACAATCTTCAACTATTTCACAGATTATAGCCTGAATGACATGTTTTTCTTTTTAGAATATTGCATTAACATTTTTAATATAAATAGTTTATCTTTTTTGAAAAGACTCTTACTCTTTATTAGAGATATTTCATTTTCTCTGAATCTATCAGTCAGCAGATTTATATACTTTATATTTTTAAGAAAGTGTGTTTTTCATTATGAAGAATATCACTCTTTTTTTTATATCTAGAAGAAGCAGAGTCATCTTAATATAAATAATACTTCTATTACTTCAGAGTTCAGCTTAAGACTCAGAATTACACACTTTACTAGATAACTCATTAATAGAATAATCACTCATTATAAGAAGACTTCTGACTTGTAAGATAAGACTGAGATCAGTTTTCATCAGAGTATGAAATTTGATAATAAGATAATAAAGAAACTTTAGAATAAAGAAAAGCAGAGTTAATATTTATCTATAGAATCTGTTTATTTTAACTTATTAAATTCTTTACTATTTCTTACTTTCAGAATACTGACTTTTAATAATAATCTGAATCAATCTATCTATTACACTGTAGATAATCTTATGAATCTTATATAAATAATACTATAAAATTAAATAACTGCAGCTGAAATCACTTAATATCTCACTATATCTGTCTCTGTATAAAGAGACACTATAAGAAATAAGTTACAGAAATACTAGAAGAAAGTCAAATATATATTAAATATTAAATCAGTGATTATATTTAATGACTCTAATTATAAAGTCTGATATATTAATATATTAACTAATATAGAAGTTATTAATGAAACTGATATTCTATTAAGAACTTAATAAGAATTCTCTTTTATATATTATATTAACTCTGAGAAGTGAAGAATCTGTTTCAAGTCTCTATATAAATATATACTATCAAGTCTTATTAAAAATGTTCAAATCACTATTAAAATCTTGAAAACTGATAATACTGCAGCTCTGTGAAATAAGATTAATATTAAATATATAATATTACTGACTGAAGAATGAGTTAATATCTTCAAGAAATTGATAAAATTATAAGTTAAGAAGAATGATTATCTTACTTTTCAGAGATATTTCTACTATTTTATTATCTATTATAAGAAGCTCTGTCAGAGCACTGAGAATATATATTATAATCTTTTTCTCAACAATCTGCAGAATTATCAAAGACTGTTTATCAAGATATATTTGAATGAGTTTTTCTTTACTGATCAGAAACTTATTATTAATATTGATATTAATAATTTAATGAAGTAACTGATTAATTATACATTCAAGAAGATCATTACTAAGTGAAAAAAGCAGTCTCAGACTGATTCTATAACTGTGAAAAAGAACAAGAACAAAGATAAGAATAAAGATGAGAATAAAAACATATCTATATAAAAGTGCACTCATTGTAGAAGATATGAATATACTGTTGACAGATATTTTATCTTACACTCTGATAAAAAGAAAAAGAAGAATGATAAGAAGAAAGAGAAGAAGAATGACTTAATAAATTCTCAATCAGCAGTAAATGCAGTAATTACAAAGATTAAGTTCTATTTCTCTTTCACAGTCACTGAAAAATCATCCTCTAGATCTTAGTATTTGAACACATGTGTAAGTCTGAATATGACAGATGAGCTTCATTCTTTTTCAAATATTAAATCTTTTAATAATAATATCTCTGTTGATTCTGTCACTGAGAGAACTGAGTTTGTTAAGAAGATTAAGACTGTTATCTTGAAGATTAAGAGTGATAATATTAACTTACAGAATGTTTACTATATCTCTAATATTACAGTTAATCTGCTCTTATTTATAAAGCTTGAAGATCAGAGATTCTGATTTACATTATCTTTTACTATTCTCTCATTTTTCATTTGCAGAGCTCTGAACAGTATTATTTTTCATACAGTTTAAACTGCTTAGAACAACATATATAAGATTGATAAACAGAAGTTTAATAAGAATCTCAATTATCTGAACAAGGCAGTCAAGTATATTATAATATTATATAAGTATGATTTTGACTGAAAAGTTGATCTTTCTGTGATCACTGCTACTACTGTTAATAACATTGATTCTACAGTTCTGAATACAGGTCTCAAGAATACAAGAATATCAAAGACTCTTTTAAACTGATACTGTGATCTCAGTCATATTCACACTGATGCTATAATTGCTATGATCAAGAATTCTTATACTGAAGTCACAATTAAAGATTCTAAGACTAAGTTCTTTTATGAGAAATATGTTAAGACAGATATGATGTGAGATTATTTGAAAACACTAATGTCTAGATTTATTCAATTCATTGAGAAGATTTATATTAATCTTGTAGATAATAGATATACATTGAAAGATCTCTCTGATCATCTCTTAGAGTCTTATCAGAGAATTAAATACTAGATGCTTATTATCTGTGATACAACTCACTACTGTTAAGTATATTTTTTAAAGTTTAAGAATGAAACTGTTCAATACTTTGAGTTATAACTCAGATTTATGAATAATCTCAGGTATACAGTTTCTGCTTTTCTATGAACTGATATTGATAATGTTTTTCAATTCACATGTATACACACAGTTATGAATTTATATGATATCAAATGAGAATCAACAGTATCATATTTATCACATTAGAATGATGTTTCTGAATATGAGATCTGCACTATTATAAGACAGATTAGAGCTGCTCTTTTAAAAGACAATCTCTCTAAGAGATTCTGAACAGATGTTCTAGAGATAGTGATTATAATAATTAATAATACTTTTATATCTACAGTTCTTTATAACTTGAAATTTTGACTCTCTACTGCAGAGACTTCTATAATTCTAAGTTCATATAAGATTTCTTAATATGCACTTATGAATACTCTGCTGAATGTGAGACATTTTCACTGATTAAGTGCAGAGGTTGTTATTCACTTGCATGAATCTCAGAGACTTGTGAATAAGCTCTCTTCATGTATCAATTTCTATCACATCATTGAATTCAGTGATATATTGATATATCATCTATGACATTCTGAATCTGATAAGATTATTATCAGTAGTGATATGAGGTTTCTGATTACTGAAAAATCAGAATCAGTTATCACATCTGTGACACTCATTAATAATGTTAGTAAACTGAAACTTGATATTCATCTGATTAATGATAAAGATGCTTCTGATATTAATGATCTGAATTTCACATAATTGCAGCCTGTGAAATCACTGACTACTTACACTTTAAGCTCTGTTATAGATAACCTTCTGAAGTTCTACAAGAATGTCACATCTCAGTCAGAGAGAGTAGAAGATTATTGAAAGAAGTTTATATAATATGAAATTACTGATCTGAAGAGATATAATACATGAAGTTTGATCTCTAGATCTGATATTCTGAGAAATGAACTGATTACTTTAGACTGTTGAGTGTTTCTTGAGAAAGATAGACCTGTGAACCTGAATATCAATTCTGATAATATTCTTAGAAAATCATATTAAGTGATTTGTGATAACTGACTTAAGAAGAATTCTAGAGAAGAGATCTATACTTCTGTTATCACTGATACTGTTAATTGTATTCTTTTTACAATAGCAGCACTTTGCAGTTGAACACTCTGTTAAGTGAATATAGTGATGATATATCTGTATGAGTGTCTCACTAAGAAGGTCTATATAAGACAACTTACTGAATTTGAGACAGATTCACTGAAAACACTTGTCTGCATGATTGAGAGTAGTGTATACAGTCTGAACCCTGCAGTGAAGATCTAGTATAATTACTTAACAGCTCTATTAAGTGATCTTGAATTTACAGTTAGTGTCTATAATTCAGTACTCTGATATTATACATTCAGATATTATCTCTATATAATAATCTATGTTGATGATCTTAACATCATATTCAAAGTTTCTGAGAATGTTAATTAGCTAGTGAGTATACTCAGTGAGAAATTGAAAGTCAAGAATCTATATCAGTCAATCAAGTATTTAAGTATGAAGATTAATTATTCAGATAAGAGAATTGATTTGATATATTATCAATATATTAAATATCTTATTGAAGATTTCTATCTTGATAATACAGCTGTTATCAGAATATTAATGAAGAATGAATTCTGCATTAATAATTTCTCTATATCTGAGAAAGAGACTGATTTCATAATTTAGTAATATTAATATGATGTGAGTTGCTTACAATATCTTGCAGTTAAAACAAATTCTGATATCACTTATACTGTCTCACTACTCACTCAATGAAACATTGATTCAACACCTCAATGTTAAAAGACTCTATTACATATTATACATTATTTGAAAGAGATCATAAATCTGAGCATTTTCTATGAATGCAGTCTGTATAAGGAGTTCATTTCTATCATTTCTATCATTTCTACTGATCTCTCTATTATCTCTGATTTCTCTAATGATTTCTACCTACTCTTCAGCTACTCAGATTTCAATTGAGCTGGTCTCTTAAATGATGATAGAAAATTAATATCTGACTATATTTTTAAGCTCACAGATAACCTGATTTCATAGTATTCAGTGAAGCAATCTTGTATATCTCTAAGTTTCAATGAGACTGAATATATGACTCTTAGTGAGATGATCTGTGAGATAATATGAATCTGAAATCTTATAATTGAGCTTGACTTCATTACTACATCTCTGATACAGATTCTCACTGATAATAAGAATATCATAGATCTCACAAAGATAACAGTCATTACAGCTCAAAGTAAGCACATTGACATACATTTTCATTTTTCATATTGACAGTTGAATCAGAGAGT